TGCGGATGGAAGCAAAGTTTAAAAAGTTTAGGTTTTACTTGTACGCATCTAACTAGTTGAAGTTGTTCTCACAGAGGGTTTGAATTCTCGCTGTGACTTTCCTTTCCTTTTAACTTCGATGTATTCTGATTTTCAAAATCTTCATGGGTACGTATCCCCACTCCTTCATAATGGAAGTAATTCTTGCAGATTCTGCAAAGGTCCTAACTGTCATCCTATTCGATTGCTTGACCTATTTGCTTCGCACATTACAAACATTAGTCAACAGAAACTGCATTTACCTTACGCTGTGCTGGCAATGTCAACACGCGATTGCGCGCTGGGCTGTCAAGTGCTTATTTTTTCTTGATAGCTGTTTAGTATGCTTTAATGCTTTTTCATTCTCAGTGTCATTCGATTCCTAATATTTACTTGACGTCTTTCATTGCTTACATCATTGGTGAAATCTGACACCCGTTTACTGCGAACCATGCACTTGGTCTTGTTGAACTGCTTATGCTGCTTCGTCTTGAGGGCAGTTTACATAATGAGAAAGAGCTGCAGATGTTCAATGCATATGCATTGAGTGGAAAAATTTTATGGGCTGTAAATAAATTTTGCTTTCATAACAAAGAAGTAAAGAGCCACTTCTCTTCTCTTCAATATCAGTCACATGAAGCTCTCTTGAACTTCCCACTTCTTTTTTTTCGCGTTTTTTTTTTCTCTGACAGCCCGCTTAGGATAGCTTACTTCCTTACATTCGCCCAATTTTCGGGTCATATGACTATCTTGATTGTGCTCAAGTTTTTTTTTTACATAGAACCTTTGAGTTTTATTTCACATTTTTATAGTTTTTTCCGAACATGTTCTCAAGGCTTTACTTTTAATTCAGTTTTCAGGATGATTACGTAATTCTGTGTACTATTGTTGCACATCTGGTACATGCCAATTTTTTTGCAGATGACGAGCCAAAACGCAGCCAATGCCCGTCTTACGTTGTAATTGTTCGCCGTTTATGACGTTTGGCGTAAAACATTTTGGGGTCTTATCAAGAATGTGGATGTTTTACGGGAGTTCAGGCGTGAAGTTCGCTTACATCTTTCTCCTCTTAGCCTATTTTTCTCTTCTTAACTTCTTAACTTGTGGTTTTGAAGATCTCATTCTCTTTCTTAATGACTCTTGAAAACCTCGAAATCCCAGATGTGACTTCCATCTTCACTAACTATCGACCTTTCTAGAATCTACTCTTTTTCAATCGAGTTTTTCTGCCATGCCGCTCTCTTTTCTGTTCGTTTGAGAGACGTTTGGATGATTATGGGACGGCTGACAAATCCACATTGATTCATCTCTTGTGTGTGTTGTGTGTGTATATGTGGCACTCTCGCCTCCTCTTCGACGGATGACTGTGTGCGTGCCTCTGCATCTCGATTACACTCCGTATTATATTACTAATGAGAAAGCAATCTGCAGCTCCTCAAAATTTGATATCGTTTGAAACTTTTCTTTCGGGTGAAATTTTGGTTGCTCCAGCCTGTTGCAGTGCATCTGTTGGTTCGTAAAATTTGATTTCAAGCAAAACGCTGCTAGCACATACAGATTGGATTCACGTGTCCGGGACATGTCCCTATTTCCTCCAGCTGATTATGCAATCTCGTTTTTACAACATTTCTTCGCATGCACAATTCTTTTCAATACCGGCTGCGTTCGCGTCTTCCAAGGAGCTTGGGTCTTTTTTCTGAAGTATGCATCGCGTTTCGCTCCCTTTGAAATTTTGAAGATTCAATTCCTTCTTTATAACGCCGCTATCTCATCGGCTTTTTTTTGTGCTACTGCTACTTTAGTTGACCTTTCCTGTCATGCGGAGGCCAAAAGGATAGCAGATTTATAGATTGCATCTCTGCGAGTGAAACACAACCCAGAATTCTTCTATTGTTATGAACCAAAGGTTCTTTTCATTTTGTTTAGTGATTGATATGAGGGGGCTCGGATGCTAAGAGACCTACTATGGTGGAAGAGAATTGAAAATGCTATAGTTTCGTTAACTAGTGAATCAGTAAACCAAAGGTGCTAGATTTGCAGGAGCGTTCGCTGCGGGAGCCGCGCGGTTTCCCGCAATCTCACTTTTTTTGGATAGGCATGACGATTCTTATATATAGATAGCAGTGACGGTCCGAGGGATGGGTCGCCAGATTTTTGAAATTTACTTATGTGGGCTATAAAAGTGTGCAGGTGACTTGTTTATACTTGTAAATAATCAAAATAATTTTTAAAATTTTTAAAAAATTCGAACTAGCCCTGGAAAATTTTTTTTCGGGTTTGGGCCCACAAAAATTTTGGGAAGCGCCCAAAAATTTTTTCTCGGAGTGCGTGGCGAACGTTACGCTCCTTAAAGGCAGCGTCCAGGCAGATCTGGACTTATGGGAATTTCACGCGGAAAGTAATTTTGGGCCCTTACTAAGTCACTGCCCAAGCGGTAGCGCAGGTGACTCACTAACGGCTGAGATATCCCTCCAAACTGGATTCCAGGGTCATATTCGCATGGATTCGTGACACTTTCACGCCAGAACCCACACTTTGCGCCATGAGTCCATGCGGAACGATCCCGGGGTCCAGTTTCGAGGAGAGTATCTTAGCCATTAGAGCACTACCTGAGCTGACGGTTGGGCAGTGGCTTAATTGGAGCTCTAAAATTACTATCCACATGAGATCCCAATGTGTTTAGGCTTGCCTGGACGTTGTGTTTAACTCAGAAAAATTTTTTGTCCCCCCCCCCCCTCCCCGGTCCGAAATCCTGGGACCACCTCTGATAGATAGATAGATAGATAGATTGATCATATAAAATATCCTTGCTTCCGTTCTTTTCTTTTCAGTGTTTCATGTTTATGAAAACGTTTCTTGCGCAACATATTTGCAGGAAAATGCTAGCACAGTCATTATAAAGCATCTTCGCTGCGTTCCCCATAAATGTGTTATCGGCATGTTTTTTAGAGCAAATATAATCCATGATTTAATTAGGACTTCTTCATACTTACTACATTTAAATTCGTAACTCGATGTCACTAATCACCCTATGAGCGTGCGGCGTTTTTTGTTCGTTCCATAAAAAATACAACTGCCACTATCGTCTTCGTACTAACTACTTTCGATCTGTGAAGAATTTGTCCAGTTAACCTTTCATTTTTTTGCTGCGTGATAACTTGTTTCTCAGTTTGTTTACGCTGCATTTAGTTTGATTCAGAATGGGAGTCAGATGACTGAAAGGTAATAGACTTCGTTTTAGCTCGAAATGTCTTTGTTTGTTTTGCGCTTGCAAACTGTGTGCAGTGATTTATGTTTTCTCTCGGTGATTAGAAGATGACAGATGTATGTTCAGAACCAGTTTTCGAATCATTTTCATCATCTCACTTGCGTGTGGCTAATCGGTGTGCATGCTTGGCTAATCTTTAGAATAATATTTGAGTTACCTGTTTTTTGCACGTTTGAATCGCCCTTCCACTCTTTTCATAGTCGTTGACTGTTATTTCTAACACTAGATGCAATTCTCTGTCATTCAAATGAGTCTGAACTTCTTTTTATTTTACGAGAAAAAGTACTGTCTGGTAGATTGAATAACTGATATGGTGCACCTGCGGTACGGACAACACTTGTGCGTGAGAAACTGAAATTGTCCTGTGAAGTAAGGGGAGTTGAGATGTAAGCTCCATGGCAATTTCTTACGAGTTACACGTCTGCACCACAAGCTGGCGATCATTTCCCGCGCAAGTGTTGTCGGCACCGCAGGTGCATACCATCAGATCAATTACAGTGTAGGCGTTTCTATAAAGAATTGGTGTTTACACCTTTTCGCCTGGGCTGCAAATGATTTTTTTTTGAGATCACCAAATCATGGCGTTTGAAAGGAAAATTCTTTTCCGTCACACCGTTCAGAATTTTGCCCTCATAAAGCCTTGAGTCAGTCGGGTCTGAGGATTTTTTGTGGTCCAGTGAAGTTTTTGAAGGATTTCTTCACATTCTGCTAGATAATGTCACAGCCGTCATCATAACACATCCATGTCGCTCCCCTTGATATGCGCAACAATTTGTTCATGAATATTTTGCCGTATTCTAGCTTTAAAAATTCATGTGAGCCGTTTGTGTTCGCCCTCTAGTTTATCACGTCTTAAAGTATGCGCTTAATCAATTGAGAAAAGGGCACGCGGCTGTTGTGTGAACATATGGTGAGCTAGTTGAGGACAGTGTTCTCGGCTTTGTTCAACCTGCACGTCTGGCCGCCTTTACTGCCATCTAAATTGTACCTGGATGCGACGCTGTTTATCCAGTCTTTTGATGGTGTAGGTGATTTATTTATGTGTTGGACACCTCCCATGTACTGCCTAGAAAATCTAAAATTCTCTATGATTGAGTAGCAATTTACAAACCAACAAATAAAATTCTATGTGGACTGTTTCACGATCGCGAAATTTGACATCTTGATCGTCTATCATTGATAAAATTAAAACGGATCTACCTGGTTTTTTTTTCTTTCCTTTCCTATCTAGTAGCTGAAGAGGATGCGCTAGCTTCCAGTCAACACAACTGGCTAAAAGCTGGAAAGATTGTCTTGACGGTCCTCTGCTTCTTTCAGCTTTTGGCGTCGTTGTGCTTGGCCGTAAGCGTGCGACCATGAATAACACCTCCACTTTCATCTTGGTTTTAGCGACATGAACGGATCATATGAATATCTCCCACCTACATACATCACTTGGAGGAAAGAAGATTCCATCCTTTGAATCACTTCCTGAAGCAGAAAAAATCACTGCCGAATGGGATAAGGCGAGATCTTGTTCTTACCTCATTCATAACCCAGGATACTCGAGTAGATGTTATCTGCACACTGGGCTAGCAGGACTTGCGCCTTTCCCACATCGTTTTGTACAAAAAGAAGCTACTTAAGATCGCGTTTGAAGACCGTACCCACTTGTACCAGGTGAAGATCTGTCTGAGCTTTCTTTTGATGTGCAAAAACATCTAATTTCCTTCTGATGTCGAAGCGTTTCAACGAAGAGTGGCTTTGCGGGACGGAGTTGTCAAATGCTCCCATAGCAGGCGGAGCGCCCATCCCGCACATTCGCGATGGCCTACAAGTGCGAGAGAATTTGTAACACATTTTTCTTTGCGCATGCGTACATTCGAAGTAGTCGCTACCGCGGCAGCTGAAGGTCTGACTCATTCGCACAGCGCTCGAAGGGTGATGAAACATATCTTCAATGTTTTTACCCGTCTCTAACTTCATACTTCGACTTTGACATTTTCGACTCAGCGCGACGAAAATGCCCGAGAAAGGCAAAAAAGAGTTGAGTATTGCTATATGTTTTCTTTCCTCCTTCGATCCCGGTCGTACCTCGCGCGATTGCGGAAAAAGCGACATCGTTGGCGATCTGATAGATGTTATCTACCGCACACAGATCTCGAATGCACATGCTCTCAGCTTCTATAAGTTAATGCGAGCGTGTCGAATTTTGCTTACCGAGAGTGCGCTAACAGGAATCACTGGTCATCGTAGCAATACCATATCGCGCAGCTACTGAAATCGTGCGAGGTATGACCGGTGTCCGGCACGTAAAACAGTTTGTGCACTCCATGCGCTGTGCAACGCGTACGAGTCACTTGCAGACAGAAATTTCTGGTCCTGTGAAGCGCATACATCATGCAGAATCTGTACGATTGACTCGCGCAGGCAGAGTCAAAAGACACCTTCGTTTCTTTAGCCGAAAAGAATCTGAATGTATGCCGCGACGCAGTTCTTCAATGGGAAAATGACATGCAGCCTTCACTAGCAAATCGCTCTTGAGTGTTTTGCAGGTAGCCTCTGCGGTTATCCAGTTTCCTCCTCCTCCTCACTTGCAGATGAATCTCCTACTTGTCATCAGCTGTATCTTTGCAGCTCAGGTTCTTCTCCTGGTACTGGCTGCTTCTGCTGCTGCCGTCAGCGGTGCGTGTGGGGCCTGGGCTGGCTTAGCCGGAGGGGCGCACGTCGATTATGTTGTTCGGCTAGTCCATTAACTACTCTCTCGTGTGTGTGCGCTCTCCACTCAGCCGGCACGCTTTTCCGAGTCGTCTCAACCTCCTTCGACTTCATCATATGCCGACATAAATTCACACCTACGCTTCAATAGAATCCGCTCCACTAACAGCTGTAGACACACATATTTCTTCTTATTGTGCACTGCGAAAAGATCTATGAAGATTTATTCCCATCCATTCTACTCAGCGTCAGTGTCCGGTAATTTTGGTAGTGGATGATTCATGAGCCTTTTTTTATCGCTATATCGACGCTGAAAATACCATGGTAAAAATATACCTGTTCTGTGGTAATTGGCTGGCACTGTGCGTTTGATACTTTCAAAAAACTGCAAATATTCTGCTGGCCGATGTATTCTATCAAAAGCGGAACATTTGTAGTGTTCGGCTGCACAAACATTCTGTCTCGCTACTTGTTTGACAATCGATTTTATGAGCCACGGTTTTTCACACTCTATACAACCCATTAAAGTGAGTGATAAGCAATACGGGGACAGTATCTGTATCAGTGGTATTCAAGTTAGTCATTGAAATGACTTTAATTACTACAGTTATGTTTCTTTTTGCAAAGTGACGAAAAAATCTGCGAATGTTTGAGCAAAACTTTCACTTCAATCTTCGAAAAGTATTTTTTGCAAAGAAAATCGCTACCTTTACTTGAGGTATGGTGAAATCGGAGCGATGCGCTGTTCCCGTTCTTTTTCACGGTGGGCATACTGTATCAGCAACTTTCGTTTGAACTGATCAAGTTGTGGTGTTTGTGTGTAAAAGTAGCTAGTTGAGCGTTGCAAGTACTTCCTTCCAGAGATTTGGTCAAGGTAAGTTTTTTGACAGAGCTGTAGGACTAGATCTGAAGACTCATTTTGTTCTATATGGGGGTCCTTTTGGATGTAGCGCTGAATTTTTTCTGGGGATTTTTAGGTATGGATATAGCACTTTCTCTATGCTTGTTTCCGCCTAATCCTTCCTTTCTTAACCGAGCAGAATTCACGAGACCACACAACTGCGTCGTTGTCTTGCTATCTTATCATCCGTATTGTTCAGCTTTGACGTCCTTGCGTTGTTTAACGAAACGCGCAACTGACTGCCTGTCTGCCTGACTGAACAAAAAAGAAACGGTTAGCGGTGATATAGTCTTCACTGTGTGATGAGCAAGAATGTGCTGGCCTAGCACTTTCGGCTTTGTGTCTAGCTTTTCTCACGTCGGTATAAGCGTTTTTTCACTGACAGCATTCTAGGTATTGCATTTCTTAGCGATCTGCGTTTTCCTCGCTCAAACGCTAACGAAATTGCGTTCGCTTTTTTTCTCATTGTTGCCAGTGAAAATGCGCATGTTTTGAGAGTAATTCTGAAAATTTTTTTACAGAAAAGATCCTATTCCATGAAAAAGGATTTGGGCTGAAAAATGGCACTTAAATTCCTTGCCTCTTACGGTTGGGAGAGTTGGAATAGCCCTCCATCTAAAAATGTGAAAAGATGATTGTCATCTTTTACGTATTATTTCCCACTCATTTTTTCATTTTGCTCATCGTAAATCCCTTTTCTTCTTCATCTTTCTTCCCGCTTTTGTAATCTTTAGATTGGTCTCATTGGAACTTGAATGTGGTTTATTGAAGATTGTAATGTTTAGCTTGAAACGTAACATTTCAGTCTAAGTTTGACTTTTGTAACAGTTGTCTTTAAAAATTTGAGTGTGAAAAATTCAAATGCGTTCTTTTCTTGAATTTTGATGCATTTTGCGCCTTCGCTACCAATCAATCGCTCTTTCCGTTTTATACCTGGCAATTTCTGCAGCTTCTCAACTGTCATTGGCAATATTTGTACGTGGCGTACAGAGTGTTTGTTTGATGATAAGACGTCGTCTCCCGATTTTCATACGGAAAGTAATAGCAAATCGATCAGAACGATATTGTACTCTTTTCATGTTCTCGAAACTCATTAGACTGTTTTTACCGAAAAAATAGTGTCTTGTGCTGTTTTGCTTGACTAGATTCTAAGTTAAAAGTGAGAGTGATTTGTGATCGAGTAACAGTGCCAGGAGGTAACTGAATTCCTTAAAACTCGTTTAAGATGAAATGAGTGGGCTGGTTTAAAAATTATGGTCAATCTTTATTGCTCGTAAAATATTGTATTTCTTTTAGTGATTTTTTTGTTCTTTCCTCATGCTATGTTTTTCTGGTTTGGATTTTTACTAGTAAAATAACACCGCCCAATTTAATGGGCACATGTTTAAGTCCATAAATGGGTGTATTTTTATCAAACATCAGTAGAGTTGAAAAAACATGGAAAAGTGATAAAATGTTGATTTTAATGATGCGAATCAGATATGCTCTACACATCTGAGCCAACGCTCTACTTTTCATTTCATCATACGTAAGTAGAATGGTAACTTTATCATGATAAAGCTTTGCGACACAAAAACTTCAAAATTTGCACGATTTTGACTCCATCCGACTCTCGCCACGCCCCTTCCTGACTTGCATCCCAGATTTTCTTCGGAAGCTCATAGACGCTAATGATAATGATTAGTTTCGATAACTTAGTTCTTACCAAACTGGACCTCTTTCAAAAGCTGATTTATGTCGTTTCTCGCAATTTTTAACTTCTTGGCAACAGCATCTCGAAGCCATTTGTACAAAAGATTGATATCGCATCTCGGCCGTTTCTTTTTCAACGACGATTCAGTCATTCCAATATTTCATGCACATCCATCAATGATTCATGGTTATATCCTTCGTATTCTAAATCATTACACATTTCATTGCGTATCTCCCATCTATTTTTCTCGTTTCGGTTAACTTCAGGTTGTAATACGCAATTTGAAATATGACCCTGCAATTTTCAGGTACAACCTACGGGGCATGAGAACAGTGGTGCAGGAATAGTGGTGGTTTTGCCGGTATTCTGTGTACGATCACTTCGTGTACGATAGTGTGTCATCTAGTCTGTTTGTGCTGTGCGTGGTGTGCTGCCCCCAGGGAAAGGGAGTTGGTCTCCGACAAGGTTGGTTTGTGCACAATTTGCCCGTATTGTTTACATTTTCGATTAATGTATCCGATTTCATTTCAATTTCCTCCACAGTTTTTTCGATACAGTGAGTAAATGTAAAGTAATCTATACCTTAATGTATTCGTTACTGGATAGGTTGATTATGAGTGTTTCAGTAATATTGAGTAGGTATAAAAATACCTCTGCTTTTCGTTATTGCCGAGCCATTTTGATTTTTTTATTATCGAAGTCTTAGTTCTACTCTACTTAGATTTGCCTAGAGTTGCTATCTGGCCTGTAACTAAGCAGATTGGAATATTTTTAACTTCATGTGATTGCCGAATACTTTCAAATTTAAGCTCATTAACTGGTCGTCTAAGGGCGTTTATTTGAAGAAAGGGGAAGGGCTGGCATTCTTTTGCTCTTGTTTTCCTCTTCTGCATCATAGGCATGCGCCATACTCCGATCCGTTTGATCCATTTGATCCACTTGATCCGCTTGATCCCTTTCGCTATTGGTCAAAACATTGAACGGACCAATAGCGACGCGGATGTCCATTTGATGCTATTAATAATCACTGACTTGACCAATAGCGAAGTGGATAAAGTGGATCAAATGGATCAAGTATGGCTGTGCCTTGCTGAACTACGTTACTTTTCACTTTTTTTTTCATTATGTGCGTAGGTGGGGGGGGGGGTGTTATTTTATAATCGCTGTGTCCGATAGTAGGATGCAGTAGCGGCAAATCTCTGGCATCATTATTGCCTAGCCCATAAAATCGTCATAAGCGAAGCATTTTCTCCTCATGCGTTCTCTAACACGTCCCGATCGATGAGGTTTTTGTGAAGAAAGCGGGAAAACGTCTTCCCGAGGATTACATCCTTCCACTGCAATGCTTTGATGCACAAAGTGCATATGAGCAGTGTCGAGCGAGAGAAATGTGGCAATGTGGCACGTAGCCATCACACTCGCATCCTTTAACGCTAAGACTGCTACTGAGAAAAACACGAAAGGGGAAGGGAAGTGAAAGTTGGATTTTGAAAATGAGAATTTTGCTTTCAAACTCGCGCCATGTAAAAATTCTTGACAGATAATTATTTGGCATCGTTTTTGTTCAAATCTGTCTGTGAATATCGGGAAGCTTTGGTTATCGATTTCACATCAGATTGTTGCACTTCGCTTCAATAATTTTTTCTTACTCGTTTAGCGCATGCTGTTGTACGATTTGCTGAGTCATCGGTGATCTATACAAATATGGCTCTTATTGTTAGTACCAATTATCCTTGTTCTCTAGTTCATTCCACAATTTTTGCCGATTTTCTTTCTCATGCTACAAAGTTTCTAAAGAGTTTTTGAGGGGATGACAGAGCAAAAATTTGCTTCAAAGCAGCGCTGGCAAAAGCTCCGTCACAGGCCAGTCACATTTTTCAGTCATTCCAAGAGTTCTCAAAAATTTGTTATTTTGCAAATTGAGCAGAGTTTTATCTGATTCTGTTACCTTCAGAATCAAAATGGGCGAGTATGGTGCCTCGGTGGAGGAGCTCCGCGCCCTCATGGAGTACAGGTTTGTTGATTGTTTTTAGATTATCAATATTACTTGTGAAGTAAGAAAAATAATGTTCTGTTTGTAAATGAGTGACAGCATAGATGACACTCTTTTAAAACGACAGTTGTGAAATAAAAAAAATGCTTTGAATGCTCTACTTCATTTATCTTGTCTGTCATGTCTGTATCTCAAAATTTACATTCAAAATTACATCTCGAAATCATCACGGTCAAAATTCGTTTGATTTGTCTTTTATTGCTGTACAGGTGTAAAAGTGACTTGACACTATCTCGCTTCCATAGTTGCTTTCGTGCTTACTAGATCCGTAGTTACCTAAACATAAGTTCTTGTTGCCGGGGTAAAAATTTCCTTCATTTTTCGGTCCGGGGTAAATCGATGCCCAGTTAGAAGCCCTTTTTACAGTGGTAAAGTGCGTTGAAGAGCGAGGGGACTTGAAGATGATGCCAAGTCCACTCTTTTGAACTGAGGTATAATCTAGCTATAGTGGAACAGTTTCTGCTTTACACTTTTTTCTTTGAGCGTGGAGAAGATTCTTATCAGTTTCAAATGCGTACTTATGGCAAGGGATTAGAGTTTACGAAGGCTTAGTAACAGCACAATCATGTGCTTGCATCCATGCTGGCCAGGGCCTTGTTATCAACTTATCATATCAGTTTTTCGAAGCTCGTGCATGGTGTAATGCTGTGCGTGTTGTGTTACAGCGAAATGCTGAAGCATCGGCTAGAGAGACTTCTCATTTCATGGGTTAGATGGATATCGAGTGATGAGGGTGTGGTCATCAAAGACTCGAAGAGTCACGCTCTAAAGAGTTATCACTGATGGGCATAGACATTTTGAGTGGGAATTTCAGACTTCCTGGCAGTTTTCTGGGACTAGGATGAAGACATTCTATTACTTTTGGGCAGAACCTATAGAGAAAAGATTTGAGGCCTGAGGCTTGCATTTTTTTCTTGTTCGAGCCGCAGCACCTGCTCTTGCCAGTCGAGCAGAGCTGTTATTGTTATTGTAGAGCGGAAGCAATAGAAGAAGTGATAGATTGCGACTTAACATTTGTTCGGTTTTTGCAGCTCGCAAGGCCTTGATCAGGAGTTCTGTGAAAAATTTTCTTGGGGTAGAGTGGAAGGGGTAGTAGGATTGAGATAGTAATAATGAAGTATCTCGTTGCCGAGGAAATGTACCAAAGCTGTATTTTTTCGGAAGGCAGAACTTTTCTACGAAAGTACCAGGAAGCAAAATGCACAGTTTCGTGTCAAAATTGCATTTTTCATCTGTGAATGTTGCCTGCATGATATTGCAAAAGAGTGTTGCAGTCATGAATCATCAAACATTTTTTCCTCTAGTCTATTTATATTTCGCCATCGATCATGGCCAATAGCCAGCTGACTCATCATCATCTTCTCATCTCAAATTCTTTTAGGGGTGCGGAAGCAAAAGAAAAGATCGACGCCGACTATGGCGGCATCACGGGTTTATGTGAACGGCTGAAAACCGACCCAAACAGCGGTATACCGAATACATCTACCGAATTGGAACGACGGCGTGCCGTATTCGGTGCGAACGAAATCCCACCACATCCACCTAAATGCTTTTTACAATTAGTCTGGGAAGCTTTACAGGTGAGATTTTGGGATTTGTTTCTGCTATGCTTGAGATATCTGTGTTGTTTGTGAGGTTTGGGGATGAGAGGGTGTACCGGGTCAAGACAGTTTCATGTCATAAACTTATTCTTTTGAACATTCGCCAACTTCGCTGACTCATCTCAATCTTCATATGGCCCAAAATAGATGTGGTTTGAACTAGGTAACCAGTCACCAGGAAACAGAAATTAACAGTTTCTTGGTGACTTACTCAACCTGTTTTGTCGAATAGGCTGGGTAACTGAGCCTTATCTGTGCAAGATTCTGTCAAACATGCATGGGGTCAAATCGTACTGAGCCCATACAAATTTTTTTCAAATAGGATTGCTACGGTGCTGCTGCTTCTGTAATAATTTGAACTAGCCACCGTCAGTAGAGATTTTTTGACTTGTTGAAGGCGGGGGGGGGGGGGGGGGAAGAGGCGTTGTTAAAAATATTTTGGGAGGAAAAGTTGTCATATTCGAAAGGATATGAATTCGAAACTCAATTTTTTTTTATATGACGACAGTGGTGCAATAATGGGCAATTTTTGATTGATCTATCCTACCCTATTATAATTAGAAAAGGGGGGGGGGGGAGAGAGAGAGAGAAAATGGAAAGAAAGTTGTTTATATACCTAAAGAAGAATAACTCAGAAGTTTGAACTCTAAATGGCAAGCATACATTTTATCTCTCATGAAATGATTCTCAATGAGAAAACGAAGAGCAGTGATTTTCCAATTTTTCATCCTTTTGTTGTCTTATAACTTCTAGCCTCTTAATCTTTGCTCTGTTAATCAATTTTTTTACAAGTGTCGTCCTGATTAGGACGTAACTTCCATGTTTGGACCCCCTCCTGCCCCTCCCGTCTCTCGCGGGATTCTTCTCAGGAAATATTTGCGATGCATACCTAATCCACGTGCGCGCTGCTCATTCTTTGAAGCTACTCATTTCCTCTGCTTTTTTTTCCATTTCGACTCAGCACATCGAAATCCGAAGCCTCAGCGTTTGCTAGTCTCTAGCTGTGTGCTCCCTGAGGGCCGCTTTGTTGAGCGGAGCGGACTAGACGGAAAAGAAGGAAGCAAGCGGGCGAGGGAGAGTAGCTTGCCATCTGCAAAGTGGATATTGAGGGAGAAAAGCGGGATTTTGGTGGCTTTACAGGATTTTCATCATTGCATGGACTCGCTTAAATGTGATTAGCAAGGGTAATGTCGAACTTCTCCAAATTTTGTGAATTTCTTTATTTTTTTCTGCGAGGTGTTTATGGATTGTTGTAACGTTGGCTCGAATTCAAATCCTTAGTCGAAGTATAGCCGTCTGGACACTTTTCCCACACTGTGGTAATTCTTATTACATGTACGGAGCCACAGTTGCTATGGAGAAATGTGCCATAGCAGCATCTGAGAGGGATTTACATAAGAATATGCGGATTTATGCATGGGATTGAATAAAAACAACGAATTGATCTGGTATGTAATGTGTGTTTATATCCTAGTATACGGCGCTGAGAGAAGATTTTGAGCGGAGCGGAAGTTTTATTTTTGCTCGGGTCTTTGACAAGGTTGTGATGCGATTTTTACGCTTCAATGCTTTTTGTCGGAGTTGCGGGAAGAATTGAATGACGTGTAATGGATGCGAAAGTGCGTTTTTGGGAAAGTTTTTTTTGCTAGGAGAGTGCAGACTGAGGGAAGAAGTCTTTGTATATTAGTGAGAACTAACTTCTTTTTTTCGCATCAAAAGCTCAAGAAATATTATAGGAGCAATAAAAATGCATAGTGTTTTCCAAGTTTTTCATCTTGGATAAAAAAATGTGTTTATAAGCAATGTAAAATATTTGATATATTTTTCTGGAGTATAAGTCCTTTCATGGCCTTTATCGATTTTCTTTGCTGCGTTTGGATTTTGGCCGGAATAAATGAAATTGATTTTTTGCTGCATATGGATTTTGGTCTGAATGAGTGAATAACTAAAACCCATTTTAAAAACCATACCATGTGCTCAGCAGCTTCCCAAGGTTATTCGAGCTTATGCCCATTGCCGCATGCTGGCGTTTATGACGTGATGCCTGAAGGGAGAGGAGAGCTGGCCGTCGGGGTGTTTGTTAGAAAATAATCTGGGAAATGTTCAGTATGGGCTACTTGAGATAATGAAGTGATAGCAGAAATCTTGAGGTTGGTAGCAGGGAGAATATTTTGTACCTCTCGTAGAGGTTGAAAGTGATGCTGATGGAAGCAAAATGCACAAACGTCTTCTCTTTATACATTTGGTAGGCCGACAGAATGAGTATAATTCTGCAAATCTTCTGCAAAACTCCATAATATGCACGATTTGTCAAGATAATGAGATGGATTGCTCATCCATTTCCTGGTCTTTGAACCCGCTGCTTGTTAAAACCGTTTTAATTTATGAAAGCCATTTTTGATGTTAGTGGACTCAGAGTAGTCCCAAAAGGTTAAACATTCATGTAGCCTATCCGTACCTACCCGGTTTTTTTTCTAAATTGACTTAGTTTCTTTGAAGGTGTTGCCCAATTGTTGATAACTTTATGTTTTATCGAAAAGATACAGTATTGTAGAACATAACTTGACTACAAAGAAAGATGAAAAAGAAAAAGTCTTTGTAAGTCAGTTCGAGCCCATTTCTTGTATGACTTTGCGAAGAAAAGGCAGTCAGTCATCTGTTATCATTATGAATCTGATGGGGACACTGTATGCCACCACAAATGAGAAGTTACAGATAAAACTGAAAATTGAATCTCCTGCCTTGTTTATATGTGCATGGTTCAAATTTAGAACGATCTTTTCCTTTTCAAGCTATTCCTTATGAAAAGTGCCCATCATCAAACGGAAATGAAGTATACTGCTTATTCAGGCCGTGAAAAAAGCCGTCTATTTTTGTTCATAGGTAATTAAAAGCCATGACAAAGCTGTAGCTGTAATTATTCGACGCGCTCGCATCGCGCTGTATGCCAATCACGAAGGATTATGTGGATTTAGTAGCCTTGCAAAGCATCGAATTGTTGCTGTACTAATTGCAGCGATGAAATCTGGCATTTTTCACAGTAAAATAAATGAGTTCAAATGTTCACTGCGGAATATGCTCGCTTTTGTTTTTCAAGAGTAATTGTGACGTTTTTTTTTGTAAGATAACGACAATGGGGCTGTCCACTTCCACCCTCTAATTGTTCTGGCATTTGCGCAAGCTTCCATAAGCATGAGTGCGCTTGAAAAGAGGACTTGCAAGAAGAGTGAGTGTGGGTGTTTGGAGAATGGGGGTTAAGGTGGGGCTAAAAATCAGGAAGGAATGGCTTCTCCAACACACCCACACTTTCCTTGCAAGTCTCTTTTCAAGCGCACTCATGCTTATGGAAGCTAGGAGGCAGAGTCGAGAAATTATAAGACATTGGGAGTTACGAAAATGAAGTGGTTTTTGCAAATGTGCGTGGGGTTATTATGCTTGTTTTTTTTTTAAATTTCAGAATATGGGAGTTATTTTCGGTATATAAATGTTGCATAAGTTCTTGAAGTAATCGATATCTATAAAATGCTTTCAGGATGTCACGTTGGTTATTCTACTGGTATCCGCCATCGTATCGTTAGCCTTGTCCTTTTATCGACCGCCAGAAGATCTAAATGGTACGTGAACTGACGTCTTTCTAGTGTGCACAATTTGTGAATGGGCAGGGCCATAAACTGCAAAAAAAAGTACATCCGGTAGATTTTCAATGTTTACATAGAAGTGCAATGCTGTTTGACGCCATTCAAAAGTCGTATCATCCCTGTTCTGCCGTCCTAATGTTTTATCTGTCAGTATTGCTCATTTATGAGGGAGCTTAGCACCTATTCAAAGCCAGATTGATTTTGCATTATTTTTTTCCCAAAATTACGTCTTTGCGGGTAAAGGCGCTTTGCACTGACAATAAGATGAAGGTAAAGCGGATTTACAACGTGGCAGTTAAGAGTTTGTATGTTTTGACGATCGTCAGCTGGCACAATCGGCTTGTCTCTGTGCCGAGCAGCAGCACATTGAGCGATATCGCATCTTGCAGCAAATAGCAGGAGGAATATGAAGGGGGGGCGGGTTGGATTATGGATTAATGATGAAACAAAATCCATATCCTAAGAACTAAATTCAGACATATAACTGCTTACCCAGCTATCTTAACTAAATGTTGATGGGAAGGCCCTAGTTAGATTATTTGCGCAAACAGCAGCTCAGAAGATTTGAATGTGACTCCAGAATTTTGCCAATACCTATCGAGGACACGCATTTTTCCCAAATCTTCCCATCCATTGGGTACGGTAATGCGCGAAGGTTCAGTGTTGAATTTCTCAGCAACGAATGAATTATGAGCTGCCACTTAGCTAATTTTTTGGCAAAAGCCTTCCATTCACTTCTCACATAATAAGCTTGGATGCTCAAGCTGCCCATGTTCTGCTTATTAAAGGCAGTGCCCCGGCAGATTTTGCACTTCCACCTTTCTGCATGTTTTAGGCCTTTCGACAAGTAGAATCCGAATCTGAGCTCTAAACAGGGTCAAAAGATCGATTTTGGGGCGTTTACTCAATTTCCGAAATGCTGCATGGACGAGAGTTTTATTGAAAAGTTGGGAGGTCTCGGCACGAAGACCCTCCTGTAACATTTGCTTTGGATCGCATGAACAATACGGAGCTCCGGGTCCCGCGCCGAACAGGCAAGCAAAGTCGTCCGAGAGTGCGTTGATTTCAAAGGCTATTTTTTCCTTGCGGCCAATTAGCTGGACTGGGCTTGGAGATTAGTGGGGTACCAGGAACCCCACCACAGCTATATCCTCCAAAGCGGGAATCTGTAGGGACACTGCCTTCAAGCCAGTCTCTGCTGAGAGTCTGCTAGAGCCTAAAATCAGTGGTTTAATTCGAAACATTGTAGCTTGTGGTCAGGATATTGTACTACTGGAACGAAAATGTGATTGATTGGTAAAATATCTGGTATCCATTATCTGCACTTTTTCTCTACTTATCGCTGGCAGTAACCTTGTTTTCCAAGTTTTTTTATTTGCCTATGTAATGGCTAATGTGTTTTCCTAGCAAGATGCATTCCTTTCGCTGACGATCCCGAAACTTTCAACGTTACCTTGAGAAGCAAAGTGCAGAGAACAATCAAAATTTTGAAGCTTGAAAGGTTTTGATGTGTGATGTCTTAAGTTTTGAAGCTGTTACACTATAATTGCTAGCAATGAATGGTCTCTTTGGTGGAGGAGTCATCGGTGAAGTGCGGCGTAATAAAATTGCGAAAGCGAAGGTGTTATGGGGTTCTGCACGCAATCTCCTGATTTTTTTGGAGGAATTCTTCACAGCAGTTGTCTTTGGATGAGATGGCCTGCTACAAAAGAAATTCTCGATGTAAAGTTTCTGCTCATTTTTTTCTGCTTCGAATCCGCTTGCGTGAAGGTGCCGAAGCAAACTAATGCGAATTTTTTCAGTCCATAAAATAGAAGACGTAATTTGCAGTGCTTTACATGTGGTCGCACTTTTCAAGGACAAAAATTTAGATAATGCGTTTGCAACATCAGAGTGACACATTGGCTGTACTTTTTTTTGTATATTACGCCATCGTTAAGCGCTTTAGTTCGATAATGTCCACCATTCATTAGCGATACGATGTTTCAAGAAGTTCCGGGAGCAGAAGTCAAAACGTTGTCCATTATGACAGCCGCACTATTCCGCGTTCAGGGTCGCCCGTGTCGGCGTCGTCATCATACTGGATCCTTGAATAATTGATAAGACCATTTTTGCATGTATTTGCACATGTACTCGGCACGGCTACAGCGCGAGGGGACTCTGAACGCTTTCGTAGTTGTAATGATTATATGCCACAAGTGTATCCATAGAGCATGTTTGAGATTGGCACAAGCTTGGTGCGCAATAAGCGGATGAGAGTTGCGCGTTGGCATCCGCATTCACGTTTTTTGTCGGTATTGAGCCCATTGTTCGTAGTGCATAGACGAGTAGTCCTCGTCTTATTCACCTTCAGAATGTGAATGCCACTGCTTGAGCGTATCGATTGGGCCGGAAACTGCAAAGTTTGAAGAGTCGGAACATTCTGACACGACACCTTATTATCAACTTTCTTTGAGTTACACAATTCCGAAGAGCTTAGGCGCGTGAAGCGAAAAGAAATTACATTACCGGGGCGAAGGGTCGTTTCGTTTATGTCGACCACATGTGATGATGATGTTGGGAAGGGATGGAAAAGATGCAGGGGATAATCAAGTCTAGGAAATGAAGTTTTCATAGATGGGTAAACAGGCAATTTTATTGAATGAAAATTTGAAAGATATGATTGAAGTTCCGTATTTCCAGGCTTGCTGGTTTCAGTTAGACTTGATCAAACATTTAGTTTAAAAGGCAAAAACGTGCTTCTCCGCTATCATATTCCTGAATTTTTTCGCTGTTTTACATTTTGGAACATTTTGTCGGTATACATACGCTTATGCGCCACCCACATAAGGCGCAACCAATATTCTTCTCATATTGAATAAATCCGAAACAGGGGCTGGCACCGCTGGCACGGGGCAAGCTGGATATCGTTTTTGGGTCAAAAAGCAAAGGAGATATCGTTTTTGTCGACAAATTGCGACGTTTTTTTAGTCGAAGTTTTGTTTTCTGGAGGATTTTCAGGGATTTTGGTTTGGGGTCAAAGGGGACTTCGTAAAAATTAGCGAATTTCAAGGGGGACTTCGTTTTGAAAATTTTTTGGTGCCAGATCGTGCCGAGCCCTGATTCGAAAGAAAAGACATGAGAGATGGTCGAGCAGGATGTTTATTTTTTTGCGCATGTTTTATACAGCCAGTGAAGATTTTTGTTCTTTGTATTTCCTTACCGGCATCATCTTTTTCTATGCTTGCTAGCAGGCTAGAGTGATGCTATTGCTTGAAAACTGTGGTCCTTACAACTCTTCTACTTGCCTCTTACCAAGTAATGTTTACCCAAGTTGCTCTTGCAATAGCCTCGGCGACTTTCTTCAAAAGTTTACTTTTGCCGTTTCTTTGGTGGACTAGCTTATATGACAAATTTCTATTTACTGAGTGCGTAACTGTGTAGTCCGCTGATCTGTGAAGGTCGCGTTGATGCGTCCTTTAATGTCACTAAACTTTTTGTGGCTTGATCATATAGATGGTGAATCCATTCTGAAGCTTCATATCGCCTTACATTCTTCCATCCGCACATCGACCATTGTGCGCTCGCATGCATGCTTTGTGCTTGCATCAATGCCTGCCCGTTTATCGAGGACGTTAAGTATGGCGCAAAAAAGGCTGAGAGCGGCAGCAGATTATAAGAATTGAGGAAATGGGAAAATTATGAGAATGTGGTCGATTTGAGCCCATGAAAAGCATTAAGCACTGCGGTCCTGAGACACCCACATCTGCTGCTTCATGGCTCGACCACCATATTGCACTGAGATGTGAAATTCGAAACATAGGACGTACTCAAAACACATGGGAGCTAAAGTGCGGCGAGGAGGAAAGAAATGACCTGCCTGCGAAAATGGGGAAGTGGATTTGGGGGACCGGAAAAAGGTTGACTAGTTGAACCTTATGAAACAAAGAAGTTCGCTCTTGATTCAACCTAATAGTCTGTGGATTATATCTGCTAGGTTGTCAAGAAAGCATTGTTTCAAAATGGGAGATGCAGTGCGGTAGGATGACATAACTAACTTCTACCTTTTTGTCTGAATAGAATATTTGGATATCTCAGTGCTTATCTCAGTGCTCTGATCTATTCTCTACTTAATAGCTTTGATCTTCTTCAAAATTCTTATCTGTACACATCACAAAAGCTGGAAAGGTACAACAAAAGGTAGTATTCAGGCAAATCCCGATGTTCTCATGTGGATAGTAATTAGACGGTCTGACTAAGTCATTGCTCCAGAGGCCTCACTTGTGGTGAGGAGCTCAATTCTGAACTCTTGTCCAGTACCGTACTCTTTCGGAGTCCGTCTTTGTGTACGGCGGTACTGGGCGAGAGTTCAAAGCTTTTTAGCTTTGGATGAATCATAGAAGCTACCGCTTGAGCAATGGGTTTTCAAGCAAATTGGTGTTCATATAAAAAGGATTTTTCCTTACCACTTTCGAGAGCCCAGAAAGCCTGCATCACAAATTTGTGCACTATAACGTCAATTATGTACGAGCTTCCATTATTATTCTCTTCTTTTTCAGCTGTTGTTGATGACAGTGAACATGAGGCTGGATGGATTGAAGGAGTTGCTATATTGATATCCGTTATTGTTGTAGTATTAGTAACTGCTCTTAATGACTACACCAAAGAGCGACAATTCAGAGGTAAGAAGAAAACGAAGTTTTGGTTTTGGAGCAGTTAGATGTGGAATTTGTTTAGGACTGCAAGCTAAAATCGAAACCGAGCACAAATTTGCCGTTATTCGAGGAGGGCAGTCGATACAAGTTGTTGTTAATGAACTAGTCGTTGGTGATGTTGCTCAGATTAAATATGGTAGGTCTCAGCTGGATATCTTGCGTAAGGGTAAAGTTATGATGAGTTTGTTTTAGGTGATTTGCTGCCAGCTGATGGTGTCCTGATCCAGTCGAACGATCTCAAAATCGACGAGTCCTCCTTGACCGGAGAATCAGATCTGATTCGAAAAGCGCCTGAACATGATCCAATAATACTCTCAGGAACACATGTTATGGAAGGATCTGCAAAAGTACGTAAAATGGGGTTGCAAATAAGGTTTACAGTCTACGCAATCGCAATGTCCCTGTTCAGTCGGTACAACCGCAGTGCGAGAGTCTTGCGTCGCGTTTGCGGGCGTTTGGCTTGAGCATTCAAATCGCTTACTGATCGGAGGTCTGTACGCGAAGCCTTAGCGCTGCGGTTGCGCAGCCGCACTCAAAAGGGACGCTGAAATTGAGACAGAATATACAGTCTGCCACAATCCTAACCAGGCCAAAATTGGCATGGCGGGAGTCCGCGTCGCTAGGATTTCGCAATCACGCCCACGGCCTGCTTCTCTGCTCTCTCTTCAATCCTTTCGCTCTCTCCGACAGCGCGGATATGCAGCGCAGACCACTAGCGCTGCGAGCGGCAAATTTACGCCGACGGTTCGGCCTGATCCCGATTGAGGCAGACTGTACTAGGATTAGCTCTGAGCAAATTTTACCCTTTAGATGCTAATCACGGCCGTAGGTGTGAACTCGCAGACGGGTATCATTATGACACTTTTGGGAGCAGCAAAATCGGTGGCTGAAGAAGAACGTAAAGCCGCTAAGAGAGAAGGTACGTTTCAAAGGGCATTTGAACCCGTGAAAGTGCTTGAAAGAGTGTGTCTCCTCCATGAGAAGTGTCAACACAAGCACTGCTCTAGTTAGTGTTCATCAACACTATCGTTAGTCTTAGTGTCTAACAGTGTATCGAGTTGACAAAACCTCAATTCCTCTTCTGTTCAACTAATTGTTGTCCATACATCATTAGTTTTCGAATCCTAATCTTAGTATGTGCCTCACTGTTTTTGTTTCATGTAGTTAATTAACACACTCGTTAGATTGTGTGAATTATGTAACCTGAAGTAGAGTCTAGTCTCTTGCGTGGGATTTGAGTTTTTGCTGTATTTACGGGGTTTGGATAGCCCGGACATGTGAATATATTGCATTACACCTACGCTGTTTGCGCCAAACTGCGCTTTTTTGGGGAGTCATGCGTTTGGCATTTTTTGAGAGAAGAGATGGATTACAGCAGGAGAAGATTGATATGATCTTGTTGCAAGAAACGGGCTGGGAAGGGGTCAATTTATTCATAAACGATACCTTTCCACCTTTGTGCATCAGGTATCATAGTGGAAAAAAAATCTAGGGGGTCTTTTAGGGTGAAATGAAGCGGAATTAAGTTATAAAGCCAAAGGAAAATAGCATTAATTGATCGCTTTTTAATATAGATCGACTTGCACCCTCATACTGTAAGGAAATTTCCGTTTGGGACCGCCGTCGCGCGCATCACACCTGCGGCGCCTGCTGCCCGTTGCTGGGCTTTGACAGGCAAGCAGGGTCTATTGAATACTGTCGTGCAAAACGGCCGTCCCATTTTTTTGCTGAGATTCAAGAAAAAAATTTTCGCTTTGTGTTTGATGTGTACTTTACGGCGATTTCGGGGCAGTCCGATAGCAGATTGCGGATGTCAGTTATACCACCGAGATTCGTTTTTTTTGAAGCTAAGCTGGCTTTCCGAAGATGACAAACTTCACGTGCAACAAGTGAAGGAGCGACTACTTGTACCAAAAAAGTTGGACAATATATATTGTCACTAACGTAAATCTCGCCTTCGTGGGAAATTGATCAGCCCAAATTTGAGAAATCTGAATATTCAAAATCCAATAGCGGAAAAATCGGTTTAGAACGTCGTAGTCGTGCGTCATTGAAGAGCAAATCACAACCGGGCATAGGTGAGGAGCAGCAGCAATTCAAATTAGGTTCGAAGAAGGAGAGCATTTCATTTGTTCTGTTCCTACGCTCTTCTTCTCGTTCCTTGTTTTTGCTGTTTATGTGAGTCCACTGGTGCACTGTCCCTTCGTTGCCACACTATCTTAACGTATGTTACAAGATTTCTATCTGTTTTTCATTTCCTAACACTCTTCTATTCTTTCCTCTCTGACTATCTTTTCACTTTGAGCTTGAAGCATATGTGCAAGCCTTCATGTCAACTGGAGCACATCTGTTATAGAGGGGAGTAGGGATCGAAGTCATTATTCGAAAAAAAAAGACATTTGTTCTCCTCATGTTCGTAGAAAATGACAAGACAAACTCTTGACATTTTCCACGAAAACTCTGTAGGCTGTGAACAAGTGCGAGGGCTTTCAGATTACAGTATGCTACCGTAATCGTGCGCGCTCATCAAAGGCGTGATGGTGTGCTTTTTTGGCGATTTTGACCAAACCTCCTAGAAGGTTTTTCTGACAGGTTATCAAAAAAATTGGATGTCACTAATTTTTTGCTTTGAAAAATGCTGTATGGGCAGTTAGAAGCGACTAATCAGCCAATCACTCCCCCTCCCCCCCCCCCCTCGCTCCCAGGTCGACACATTTTCGGACGGCTAGTGAGCGGCTTTTGTTAGATTAGTATATTTCTTGGAAGATTCAGTATGTAATAACTTCAGTCAGCACAACCTAGAATGATCAAAACAAAATCAAATACTTGCCAACACTCTTCACTGAAAATCAGTACTTTATTGCGATGTTCGCAATCCACGCAGCTCTTCGACAACAAGCAGGGTACGGTAGCATACTGTAACGGCGCGTAAGCGATTTAAAAAGCAAAGATAAGTTAATCGAAGCTCTTGCTTTTTTGTGATGCTGTGTTAGGTTCAACTAAAGTTTTTTCTATCTACACATCTGTATCCGCGTCTATAGCGGAATTGTGTACGAAATGTCCAAACCTTGAGTTATAAGAAAATTTTTGCAAATGCATCAATCTTGAAAAACTAACCCTGAGTCGCTTTTTGTTGAAATGCACAGGCATGGTGATTGCAAAATGAGTGCATGTTATGAGCTGAACTAGTGATATCGACTAACGCTGTGCTATCAAATCGGAGACTGTGCACCAGCTTCTAAACTTCGTGCATCTTCATGTACTATTTTCCCTATTTCTATGTGAAACAATATGTGCGTACTGTAGTGGTGGTGATAATCATGCAATAGATGTGTATGTGATGTACATGCACACACATCCACCTATATACGCCTATACACACATACACACACTGCACAAATTGCAATCTATCCACACGTAGTTTAGCCTCTCGTCATTTCAGGTGATGCTGTGCAAGAAACCGACGAAGGCACGGCTCAGGCATTACTGGGTGAGTTGTCTAGCCTTATATTTCTGTCCTACTCGATATCGTACTAGCACTGTAAGCAGTGTTTCGTGTTTTCTTTATCATTATGGCGGAAATTTTCTACAAAAATCGATGTGGAATTTTTTGAAGGATATTTGAATGGGGATTTCCGCCTGCTTGGTCTTTTTTTTCATCGTCTTCATCCCTTGCCATATCGCTCTGCTAGGCTAAATCCGTGCTCGGCTTCGGCGACGCAGAAATCAACAATCCTAAAACCCGTAGTTCAATATTGTGATGCCTGTTCGTGAAGTAGTTGCATACTTCTTTTTTTGCACAGCGCTTCATGCGCCTCACTTAGGACGTAAAAATTTCTTCTATATGTATGTTGAACTTTTCTTTCTATTTTGTACACGTCTAAAATGTCCAGTTTTTCGTATCTGTTTATAATTTTCAGAATCTTGGAACAGATCCATTAAATTCAAGTTATCGTTTTCCCTACATTTTCACTCCCGCTTTGACAGATTTGCAAATGCAGCAGGAACTTTCTTTACTATCTTGTATACGTCAAGACTACCGTGTCATACTTTCTTCGCTCACCCTTCGACACAGTTTCTTCTTCTACCTCACGACTTCTACGACTTCTTCACCGCTTTGATGAGAAGTGGACGAGGGTACATATGCGAATTTTCAGATGTGAAAGCAGATGGTGCAGATGGCGTGGCGAATGGGAAAGTAGTCGCCGAAGAGAACGGCAAAAAAGAACGATCTGTCCTACAAGCTAAGCTCACCCGACTTGCTATACAGATTGGCTATGCTGGTGAGTTGTGCAGGGTATCTGAAAAAAAAAAAGTACCTGAGCTTTGTGAATATTCGAATTGAGTGCTATTGAAATGGGAAGGGAATTGTATTAAACAAGTGCTGAAGTGCAAATTTGGTCTATTGCCTGCTTTTTCTCGAATTGAAACAATTGAACCCATTTACGGCATGTCAAACAGAAGAACGAACTTCATCGAGCGCCGTCTTCGCAGACTATAGTCCTTTCGCACATGCTGTTGCGTAACGTGTGAGGACCAGTGGTCCGCGAGGTCGGCGCCCAATGGCGGAGTTCGTTCCTCTATCCCTATAATAGGTTTAATTTTGAGTTTGTCCAGTTTTTAAAGAAACTGACAATGATTGAGCATCAAAAAGAGAGTATAAGTTTTTTTTACAGCTATGCTGAAATAGAATGTTTTCTTTTTAGGATCGTTTGTTGCTGGGTGTACTGTACTTATCCTCGTCATCCGCTTCTGCATCTCCCGATATGCCATCGAAGAGAAGTCGTTTTCCCTTGCTGATTTTCAACACTTCATCAATTTCCTCATCATCGGAGTGACCGTACTGGTAGTAGCTGTACCTGAAGGATTACCACTTGCTGTGACATTGTCTCTTGCCTACTCAGTCAAGAAGGTGAATGCGTTACCAGGGTGAGGTAGCCTCAGCGAGATGATTTTGTTGTTTAGATGATGTTGGATAACAACTTGGTACGTCACTTGGATGCATGCGAAACCATGGGTAACGCGACTTCTATCTGCTCGGATAAAACCGGAACGCTAACGACGAACAGAATGACTGTAGTGCAGTCTTACATCAATGATCATCATTACAAAGAGACGCCAAAGATGGAACAGCTGGATAAGGAGACGTTGGATTTGATGCTGCACTGTATAGCAATTAACAGTAGTTACTCTTCTCAGGTTGGGTGTTTCTTTTTCGAGCATGGAGTATGCCTAAATGTATGTATTACAGGTAGTTCCTGGAAAGCAGTTGGGAGAACAAGCCACGCAACTTGGTAACAAAACCGAATGCGGTTTACTTGGCTTCGTTCTTGCATTAGGAGCTAGCTATCAAGATATTCGAGACAAGCATCCAGAAGAAAGCATCCCCAAGGTAGGGCTATTCACATTCTTACAGGAGTTCGGCATCTCATTAATAGTCTGGATATCCTATGGATACTTTTCTGGGGAGCTCAACTAAGGCGCTGCACAAGCGGCAGTTCATAAGGTTCATTCATTCTTGAGAAATCCATCCACAAACTCTCGCCCAGTACCGTAATCGAGAGCACCAATCAGTGCGCGAGTACGGTGTTGGGGGAGAGTCTACAGTTGAAATTCTTGCGCGCAAATTGATTATGAGAACTGTCGCTAGGGCGCGACTAGTTGAGGCCTCCAGTCAGTATGCATATAAGAAGTCCAGTAATACATTACATTTTGAATTTAAATTTCTCAAATTAAGGCCTCCTGGCAGTTCCAAATTATCCACTTATCCATATGTGTCCGAACACCGCCTTCGAAATTTTAATACATATGATATCTCTATTATAGGTGTACACTTTCAACTCGGTTCGAAAAAGTATGTCAACGGTTATCAATAGACCAAATGGCGGATATCGTGTGTTCAGCAAAGGAGCATCGGAGATCATCACGAAGAAGTGAGTTCCATCACCATCCTGCTTTTCTTGCTCTAAAGCCATTGATTAAGGTGCAAATGGTTCCTTGGAAAGAACGGACAGCTTACCAAATTCGGCCCGAAAGACGCTGAGGCTTTGGTTCGCAATGTTATCGAACCTATGGCGTCCGATGGCCTGCGTACCATTTGCCTAGCATACAAGGACTACGTACCAGCTGGTGGTGCCGTTGGTGAGAATCAGGTTGGTTTGGATTGAAACTATTTTCTTTATGATTTTTTTCTCTACTCGTTACAAAAGTTTATTATGCTCGTCAGATCGCTTACACCGGCGAAATCGATTGGGATAACGAAGATGCAATAATTAGCGATATGACTGCCATAGCCATCGTTGGTATACAGGATCCTGTGCGACCAGGTTTGTGTCGCACCATCTTTCTCAAATATGATGATTGACTTCAAATTTACAGAGGTACCAGCCGCTATTCTAAAATGTCAAGAAGCTGGAATCACCGTAAGAATGGTCACTGGTGACAACATCAACACTGCACGTTCGATTGCAACTGCTTGTGGTATCTTGAGACCTGGAGAGGATTTCATTGCACTTGAGGGCAAGGAATTCAATGCGAGGTTGGTTTTTTGGATTTGCTTTTTTTTTTAAACTATTCTCTCCAAAAATTCATCAGTTTTTTCCCGTTTTCACCATAATCTCCATTTATTCTGCTTTTTCTCAACTGCACGTACTTATTTGTGATTTATAGAATCCGTGATGAGAACGGTGATGTTTCGCAAGAAAAGCTGGATCGTATATGGCCAAAATTACGTGTACTAGCTCGTGCTCAACCCTCGGATAAATATACTTTGGTGAAGGTAAGGTATACAGTTGGTTGAAGTTTTACTGGCAGAGGGGGAACTTTTTCTTTTTTAGGGTATCATCGATTCTCGTGTGAGCGATGCACGTGAGGTGGTCGCTGTAACCGGAGACGGAACAAATGACGGTCCTGCACTCAAGAAAGCCGACGTTGGATTTGCTATGGTGAGCTTAACAAGAAATTACATTTTGATGAAGGAGGCGAGGGAGATAGAGTGGAAATTCTTGAAAATATATTTTGACAGACAAAGTGCTCAATAGTTCAAGCAAAGATTTACGAAATTCTTGTTAGTTTCAGTGATTTGTTTGCCTGGGCTTTTCCAATTATGGTTAAGTTCTTTTCCTTCGCAGTTTTTTTTTATACCTTTTTCATTAAGGGTATTGCTGGAACTGACGTAGCCAAAGAAGCCTCCGATATCATCCTCACGGATGACAATTTCACTTCCATTGTTAAGGTACCGTGTTACTACCGTACTAAATCTTCGTCATTTTTCTTATGTCATCCTTTGCCCTCTAGGCAGTGATGTGGGGACGTAACGTGTACGATTCAATCGCAAAATTCCTCCAATTTCAACTTACTGTAAACGTTGTAGCTGTCGTAGTAGCTTTTGTCGGTGCGTGTGCTATTCAAGACACTCCATTAAAGGTAAGCAATAGTTATCCTATCGTTTGAAAGAGAATGATAAGTTTCTTGAACTTTAGGCTGTACAAATGCTTTGGGTAAATCTCATTATGGACACACTTGCTTCGCTTGCTTTAGCTACTGAAATGCCAACAGAAGAATTGCTGAAAAGGTAGGATTTTGATTTTTTTCTGGGCTTTTGATAAACACTGATCTTTCCTAGTGAACTTGTTTTTTCTAAACTTCGTATTCTAGGAAGCCATATGGGCGTACTAGTCCTCTAATTTCTCGCACGATGAGCAAAAATATCCTCGGTCATGCCGCATATCAGCTTGTAGTGTTGTTCGTGCTGATTTTCTATGGTGAGCAAACAATATCATTCATAATTTTTTGCTTTTTTTGCTCACTGGACTGGGATCTATTGTCCCATTTACCGTATCTTACTATCTTCCTCACTCATTCAAAGCTAGTAAATCACTTTGCTACGGCGGGACATCTGCAGCAAAAAGCGATGCCTGTTTCGTACGTTTTGTCTTTCATAGTAGCGTACTAGCTCTCAACAGGCGTTTTTTCCAAACATTTTTTTAATATTCTTTTTTTAGGCGAAAAACTTTTCGATATTCCATCCGGCCGTTGGGCTCCGCTTCACTCACCTCCTTCCATTCATTTCACCATCGTATTCAACACATTTGTCATGATGACGCTGTTCAACGAGATCAACGCGAGGAAAATCCACGGAGAGAGGAATGTCTTTTCCGTGAGTATGCCTAATTCTTTTCTCTTTGGATCAGCATCTGTCAGTGGAAAGAGCGGTGATTTATGTTTTTCGGTAGTGAAAGCTTATGTGACGATGTCTTTGCGAGGGTAGCACCATATATCATTGGCGGTAATTGCTATGGAAACTGATGAAAAATGGTGTCTTTGAACACCAGAATAGACTATTAGCATTACGTAGAAGTTTATGCAGCTGGAAACTCATATTGTAGCTCGAATCGTCTAGCCTGATATCATCCAGATGATTCGATCGTTTACAGGGTTTATTCTCAAATCCGATCTATTACATCATTTGGATAACCACATTTGTGGCTCAAATCCTCATCGTCCAATTTGGTGGTCGTTGGTTCAGTACAGCTGCATTGAACGTCGAACAGTGGTTGTGGTGTTTGGCACTGGGTATCGGCACACTGCTTTGGGGACAGGTTCGTCTGTTTTTTTTGTATTTTCTTTTTTCATCTTTCTCCACATTCCGTTCGTTGATAGTTGTGTAAATTGCTACTGTTGTGCTTTTTCTGAAATGCTTCACACTTTACTCTGCACGACTATCATTGAATAAAGTAATGTTGACGTGGAAAAACCGTCAAGCTTTTCAAAACTATCAAATTTGCGAATTCTGTATCTGCGTCCTTTTCTTTAGTCGATGATGTGAGTCTAGCCACTTTGGTAGATATTGACTAGTTATTTCAGCTTGTAACATCCATCCCCACTGGCAGTCTACCAGAAAACATGACGATAGGATCTGGAGAAGCTCCAACGAGCGATCCTTTGATGCCAGACTACGAAGATCCGGGTACGCATGAAAGGCGTTCCGGACAGATATTGTGGGTGCGTGGTCTGACTCGACTGCAGACACAGGTACGTTATTTGACATTTATCTATGGTAGTTTCAATAAAACGTCTTACCTATGCTAAAAGCAGGCGACGATTCAAAAAGTTGGTAATTATGTCAGTGGCCTGAAATGTAAAATGAGAGAAATATGTTGAGAAATAAGTAGGAAACTGCTGACACACCTCTTTTTTGCATATACATTGCCCTGACAATGTCTCCAGCACTACTAACTGCCCAATGATCTAGTACAGCCTAATGCTGGTACTCGGTTATGTATGTGAATAGGTGCGTAAAAGAGCTTCGAAGCGCTTGAATATTATCAATCTTGGGGCGCTAAGTTCTCATATATTCTTTCTGTATGTGTTATTTGGTTCAATATCGATCGATCGATATATATGTGAGGGCTGATTATATGTATGAGGGTGGTGTATCGGCTTTTATATGTTCATTTCGCGACATCATCACATCGCGTATATGTGAGGTGTGAGAGTAAGGACTAGTAGTGAGCATGCTGTTTTCGGTAAACTCGTTCTTTCGTTGCTTCAGCTAGGACAAGTTGCCCGAAAATAGTGTCTTCAGTTGCAGTAAGTACCCTCACCCCTGACTTGTAAGCTTCCGCAAAAGTGTATGAAGAACAGACAACGCAAACAACTGAAGAGCTCTATCGACGAAAAGAAGAGGTTTGCATACACATCTGACAGATACGTACGTGACAGCACAGCGTGCACACAATTCCCGGATTCTACGTATCTTGTATGGGCGAGTGGCGAGGCGGAACGAAGCCGGATTACAGTCATTTGCACTGGGTCATCTGCTGGCAAATACATGGAAAATTGTCTTCGCGGCTCTCCAAAAGCCGCGGTAAAAGCGGCGTTTTTGGACAACACTCGAAATCAAGTGTTTAACCTTTCCTGCGGCAAAAAGTAGCAACTTTCCTGCGAGCTCCATAACTGTTTGGATTAGAAATCTGTTCGTAGACTCCTATTCTATATAGCTCTATGTAGCCTGTCAAATAGCCAAAGCAATACAATAAAACTATTTTACATGGGTGCATATTCGAAAATAGTTACAGTGCAGTATCCGTGACACACATCTTCTCAAGGCATTATAAAACGGGGCTACTGGGCTTGATGATGACAGCAAATCCATTTGGTACTCATCCTGCCAGCGTATTGTGCACGCTGTTTTGAATATGCGACCGTTCTACGTTACGTTCTGGGATTCTCGTTATTATGGACAGAATGTGTACTCTCGTGTTGATGCGCGACACATACTGATCGCACCGTGTAATCTGAATGTAGTATGTGTCGCGCTAGCCAGGGTCGTTAGCGAGAGTGCCAGATGTCGGGGGGAGGGGGGGGGGGGGGGGAAGGGGGGAGCGGAATGAAGACTCAAACAACGGAACGGTATTAGAATAAAAGAAAGAAACGAAACCATGAATGATAGGCCGCCGGCTGCTGCCCTTTCATAGCGCGAAATCATAAAGTACACGTAGATCATCGATAATCAGGACACAATGGTTGCGAAATACCCTAACCAGATATCGATCTATCACATATGTAATTTCAAAAGGTAATTTTGCGTTGCATGAAGAGGTGCGTCACAAAACTTTTTTTACATGGAGAATAGGGAAGGAGGGCATGAAAAAAGGATGGGCCGGGCACAGTTTTGTCTGTACTGTCTGCCCCAATTGGGTTCCGCCAAGCAGCCGTAGACGTGACGCAAAACCCTAGCGACGCGGTCATTTGTTACGCCAATTTTGGCCTAATAAAGATTGGGGCAGAATGTATATAGGATAGACGAATATACCGCTAGGGCACCCTTCGCTAATACAAGTCATTTTTGCGCATGCCATAGTATACATGGTAAGGACCAGTAGTTTGCGAAGGCGTTTGAGGGTGGCATTTGCTCTTTCACCCCTTTGATACCTTTTGACTTTCCTCTATACCGAGCCATTCGATCACACGGCTCTTGTTTTTATCACAAAAGATCTGTCCAACTTTAGTCGTTTGTGCCGAAGATGAAGGATTGTGTCACGAATGCTGCTAATCTAACCTTCATTTAAGTCAAAGTAGAAAGCAAAAAGCAAAAAAGTGTTCTTTCCCTATTTAGTTTACTTCTCCTTTCGATTTTTCCCCAGAGTAAACAACATTGTGATACGCATTGCTTGCGTCGATAGAGACAATATACTTTATCTACAACGTTTTTTCTCGACATCCGTACAGTCCACCCTCACATGTAGTCGAGTGTTGCCGATTAGCTGTAAGTACGTGTACAGGTGCGTGTGTGTTGTCGTTGAGACGAAGATGCGACGTTGGTGACTTCGTTCACTTTCCTCGTCGCTCATCGTGAGACGATAGATTTATGTTTGATTGTTGTGTTGTTGGTTTTCTTGATCACTTGACACATTAACCAGTCCTAATGTTGCCATGATTATTCCAAACTTTTTCATCACAAGAGAAAGAACTGGAAATGTGTTGAAATTGTGTGTTGTCGAAATGTGTGTTTGCAAAAAGCGTTATCGATCGATATATACGTATCAATTCAGTCTGATATATTCTCTAAGTTCATTACACGCTCTACACATTGGGTTACTAGTCCCGTGAATTGATATCCATGATATGATAATTATAGCGTTTTTTGTTCGGAGTTCCAAGTGCGTGAGTGTACATGTACGTGGGTGTTTGCCTCTTCACCTGATGTCATCAAACCATCTCTGAACTCGCGGTACGTAAACACGAACACCACAACACATATACGTGGCGCGTCTCTCAACTCCCGTCGCGCATCCACGCTCGCCTCGCGCTGCAAAGCCGTGGCGCGCAACGAAAAGTGACGGCGGAGCTGTTGTGGGGTGGCAAGACGAATGGGTACACACGGCACAACGCAGCAGAAGATGGTATGTGGGCGTTTTGGGAGCACAGGTAGGGAGATTTTGGTGAAATGTTGGTCCCGACAACAGTGGTGTCTGGTAAAGTTCCCCTTTTTTTGCGATCTGCAATTTTTTTGCAAGTTCCTCTCACCATCCCTTGATTACGCATTGTTACCCTTGTGAATCGTTCCCCATCTCCCTAGTGACACCACAGTTCCTAGATACACTCATCACTTTATGTCCTGAAGATTTGATTCTTATTTGACTGACAGTTTTTCAACTCTCATGTGGAGTGATATAGCGGGCAATCTTACCAATTTACCGTAACCTTTTGAACACGTGCAGTGGAATTTGCCAATCTCCAATTTTTTTGGCGCTCAAGTTTGGATGGAAAACGTTTGGGTCGATTATCTTTTCATTTGGCTCGATATCTACCGATGCCTTTTTTTACCATGGGAGCCAGAAAGTAATATTTGTTATTGATTAGGTTGCGGAAAAGAAAAAATAAAAGTTAATTATCGTGCTGTGATAATAACGGGTTCTAAAGCATGCATATTGTGTGATTGCGTTGTTGTGCTTTGCGTGCTTGGGAATGTTCATATTCCTTGCTATGGGTGTTGTAGCAAAACGATAAGTTTTTCGGAATATAAAGTGAAATTTGAGAGCATAATAGGAAGATTTACCTCGCAACTTTTTTTGTGAATTTCAAAGTAGTTTGATATTCAGAAAGTGTAGAGAATTTGTTGCATTGCATGTATGGTAGAAATCTACCATTCTTCTATTAGGTTGTCCGGAAATTAATGCCCGTTTTGAATTTCAACCGCAATAAGTCATACACTACTCATTTCTAAATAGGTTGCAAAGTACCATTCGATAGAGCAAAGCAAGCTCTACAAAATGGCTTTCTTGCTTTTGCAACAGCTCTCACCCACCTCGAGTTTTGAGCCAAAAACTAAAAAGACTCAGCAGCCCTAAAAATCGAAAAAAATCGTAACTTAGTTCATAAAAATCCTACAAAAATTTTTACTTGCTCACGTAAACACTATCCACATGAAACATCTATATACGCCTTTGCCGCATTTTTTTCTCTGTTAGAAACCAAGAAAACGGAAATTTTCGTGCATTTGCCAAAGTGATGCTGAGCCATCCCCACATAGGTAGTTGTACACCCCAAGCCCGTAGAGGTACAGACTCAAATTTTCAGCTCTCTACAAGCTTCTTTAGTTCTCGAGAAATACCGAATATAGCTTCCCTAGTTAGGTGGTCCAAGCTAAAATTCAAATTTCTCGAGAACTAAAGCTTTTAGAGAGCTGAGAATTTACGTTTGTACTTCTACAGGTCTGTAGTTTAGAACTACTTATGTGGGAACGGCACAGCATCACTTTGGCAAATGCATGAAAATTTTCGTTTTCTTGATTTCTAACAGAGAAAAAAATGTGGCAAAGGCGTATATAGATGTTTTATGTGGATAGTGTTTACGTGAGCAAGTAAGAATTTTTGTATGATTTTTATGAAGTGAATTACGATTTTTTTCGATATTTCGGGCTGCTGAGTCTTTTTAGTTTTTGGCTCCAAACTCGAGGTGGGTGAGAGCTGTTACAAAAGCAAGAAGGCCATCTTGTAGAGCTTGCTTTGCTCTATCGAATGGTACTTTGCAACCTATTTAGAAATGAGAAGTGTATGACTTATTGCGGTTGAAATTCAAAACGGGCATTAATTTCCGGACAACCTAATACTTTAGCAAAAAAAAAAACTCTCACAAGCTTATCTATACCGGTCACTTAATTATCTTGTTCAACAATAAATAGGAAAGAATTAAGATAAGTTAACTTACCCTCCATTCTACAACTTCACTTTTGGTTGCCTACAAACAAATGCTTGGCATGATTTCTAAGTTGCCGTAGATCTGTTTTTTCTTGAGTTGCAACTTTCAGCCGTACTTTTGTTCGCAATAGGTTGATTTTGAGTTCTAGTAAAGTCAGTTTTAGTTCTTCGCAGGACGAAGGTAGTCTTCTATGCAGGCCAAGCGGCGGGCCCGCTACGCGTGGGCGAACTCATCACCAGTGACTGACAAGGGAAGCTCGTTTAGTCGAAGTTGCCTTTCTAAAAGAGATGTGACCATATTAAAGGGCATAAAACCCTGATTCCCATACTGCCTTTTCTGTTCTGCCAAACGTTTATGAACGAGGAGTTATGAGCGTTTTTTGAAGCCAACACTGAATGTGCATCAAAATAGTTAAAATGAGTTGCTAAAATCGTAGTAGCCCTAAAATAATGCAACCAAGCGTGATATATCTTTTATTTTAGAGTATTGTTTTGGATAAAGTGCTCTGATCGTTATCACTGCTCCATTGAGGAGCTAGAAAAAGTATTACGGCTATTTTTGTCCCACTTGCACATTCAATTTTTTACTCCAATAAGCGCTCGTAACTCCTCATCCATAAACGTTCTGCAGATGAGGAAGGCAGATTTGGAATTAGCATTTTATGCCCTACAGTATGGTATACATCCCGTCTATGGCTACTTTGAATAAACAAGCAATCCTTGTGAGACCCTTATGTGATGCGACTTTATGTTGAAGCCGCGTTCGCGCCCGCTTAGCTCATGTGGGTGGACCCCCTTCGTCCGGCAATGGACTTATCTTGAAGCATGACTGCCAAAACCTTATCCCATCACAACCAACGCTTTGAAAACACTCATTTGTTCCCACAGATAATTTTACAACCTTTCTATGTTAGAATGATTAGAAATGAAATAATTTGAGTTCTAGTTGAAGACTTTCCAAAACCTTGTTTATGCTGCTTTTTTTTTCAATTTCTGCGTTGACAGTTTTCCGGTTTCGGTTTGTGGGCAGTTGCAGGAGATTCAGCAATTGCCGTGCTCTGCCATTCGACGCCTTGCCACCCTACATACAAAGCTTTATCTGTTCTATCGTCGTACAGGATGTTGAACGAACAGTTAAAGCGAAAAAAGATGCGGAGAAATCCATAGTGTGTGCGCGTGATGTCTCGATACACTGGTCGTCATGGTGTATCAATCCTCTCTTTTTATGGATTTTGCTCTTGTTGTTGTTTTTCTTGTTTATATATGCTGTAGATTGTATACAAAATGTTTACTTTCTCAAGTATAAGCTTTGAAGATTCAGTCCTTTTACTATGGGTAGTTTCATGAATATAGTAGAACCGGTAACATCAGTACCTAACGTATAGGTGAACCCGTAGAGGAACGACTACTGTCAGGCGCTGCCTCCACGTACCGGTCCTCACGCGTTATGCATTAGCGTATGCGAAACGACCAGTAGTCCGTAGATGTGATGCTCTGACATCTGTTCCTCTACTCGCTGAGACCTAAGGCCTAAGGCATACCTCACGCGATTTGACCAAATCGCGACGTCCACTCGACTTGGCGTCTTGCCAAATTTTTATAGATTCGTCGTAGGTTTTCAAATGCATTGGCTTGTAGCTTTTGTCAGTTCTTGCAAACGGATCAAGTCTTGCTCAAACAAAGGCCGGCAACGAGCAATTACAAACAGTCGCTTCTGTGCCAAATCGCCCAGCGACGGAAATCGCGTAGAGTATGCCTTAGGCCTAAACCACACCTTTCGCGATAGTTTGTCGCGTCAATTTCTCTCAGATAAGGTGCGCAAGAAGATTGGGAATTTATGGCTTGTTGCTTGCTGAACGAGCCGATTCGTATATGAGGGCGACAAGTGCGACAATTACGCAGCGTTAGCCACATTGAGGCATTGGAAGCATTCATCTTGTGGTAGTTGGTGCATCAGCGTTTGCAGGTGAAGAAGGTATAAGTGTGTAGCCAAAGATCCTCGCCGGAGTAAAAGAGATTCGGTATATTTGAAAGGAGCAAAACAAGATTATTTAGTAGTTAGGATTAACCGCGTCATGTTAGAGAGAAGAATATACTTGAGAAAGTAAAATGAACCCGTTTTATGACAACGAGTTTAAATCCCGCTATTTCAGTTGCGAGTGGTGAAAGCTTTCCGTTCGTCACTGGAAGAATTCGACGAACGTCGCTCGATCGCATCCACACATTCAGTGCAGTCTATGCGCGGCTGGTCACGTTTGGCATCCAGCCCCGATCCAGCTGGAACTCGAGCAGCTTTAGCTGCACTATCTCATAGACAATCTCCACAGCCATACCCGTACTATCACCATCAACAACCACGAACTCCGTCTCCACAACCACAGATCATAGTAGAGAATGGAGGAGGTGGTGGTGTCAGTTCGAATGTAGCATCGCCGACGGTAACGACCGCCAATGTAAAACTGGAGAAAGTGCCTTTGGTGCAAAAATGGTCACCGGACACGAATTCGTCATACTCGCAGCGCATTACGAAGAGTATGTCGTTGGATACGCCGGTATCAGTGGCGCACGTCTAGAACCTAAAACTACTAGCAATATGATGGTGGATACGCTTCGAAGAGAGCCAAATGATGTGCATCTAATTGCGATTTCTCTCAAGAACCCTAGGACACTGATTTTATATATACTGTATATGCTGTATGATGACGTGCGAATAATTGCACCACGGTGCTCCCGCGGGCTCTGGGCTCGCGCCTACACATTGCCTTGTTATTTTGACTAGAAGAGTATACCCGGTCGTGTAGCGAAAATATTGCTACGAGATTGTTCGATGAAGTTGTTGTTTGTCTGCATTTTCTCGTCCACCTCTACAACAGCATCTATCTTCTTTGATATCTAGGATGGGCGGCAGAGAATTTCGTGACAGAATTTTTGCCCTTTTTGGATAGAGTCCGTGGTACAGCCTGTTTCAATCATAGCGTCCTTTTTGTTCGGCATAGCATCACGAGTGCCACATGTTATTTCGCGAGCGTTCAGTTTTTGAGAGGCTTCATAGTTACCCTATTCTGAATCTAATCTGGATTCGATTTAGACATTCAGGGTAGGGTTGACCATGATGCTTTTTTGAAGACTTAAGTCTATCATCCTGTTCGGAGGTCAGCACGCGGTTACTATGCCGCAGCACGCGAACTCCTCGCGCTACGGCTTAGTAACCGCGCGCAAAAGAGACACTTTGTTTCAAATAGACTGTACGCGTTGCAAAGGAGAAATTTAGTACTTTTTTTACATCCAAATTTTTGATGTCAAACCCCTAACCTCTTGCCGCTCATTACGGTTCCGCCAATGACAGTTACAAGTAGAGACGACATTTTTAGGCTCAACGATTTAGAAGTGATTAGAATTTGTTATTTTCAAGAGACAGAGAAGAAAGAATTTTATTCGATTCCACATTGAAATGTATCATATATATCACCACATTTTAAACACACATTTTGCAATTGTTATGGAGATATAAACTTGCTCATTATCGCTTGATAATCAAGTTCCGAGTTTTGTACGTCTCCCTGTTACAAATAATGCTCGCGTTTGTGTGAATATGTTTTTTTTTTACCGTGAATCTTCACAGTAATATTTGTTACAAATTCTTGCATTTTGTAGTTTCTTTGTGAAGAATGGATTGCCATATATTTTTCAAGTTTTCTTGCAATTTTACAGACTGCCAGTATTTCTTTCTTTGGTTTTACATAGTCATGATGTACTTTAAGCAAGATACTAGTCACTCGCAAATTTTCAACTTTACAAAACGTCTCATCTTTCATTTGCAAGGCCATTACCGTGTCCCAACCGCCATCGTGTAGACTGTAGGTAATGTGATGACCATATGCACTGGTAGATAATTTTTAATTAGAAAAACTTTTCTTTAACTGCCTCGTAACCTTAGAACCTCCCTCGAATATGATTTAAATGCAAATATCTAGTAATGTTCCCCTTAATCACACATGTCACAAGCTTCACCAAGCCATACTCTTGTCTCACTCAACACTCGCGCGAATGCAATCATTTTTGTTCTAGGTTGTTGCAATTTAGTGTGTGTTTGTGTGTAAGTTGTAATTTCTTGAACTCACCGATAAAGTTGTAATAATAACCTTGCTACACATCACAAGAGCATCCAAAATATCCATAAACAACAAAATATCAATTTACGCCCGATGGTCTTGATGCTCAGAGCTCATACGCATGGGCACTGCCTTGAGAGTGATCAAAATCTGCATGGAAAGCTGCGGTGATCGACAAGCTTCATTAGTGATTTTTTTTCAGTTTTCTCATGAATTTGAGCTTGAAATTAGTTATGCTTGGCTATCTCATATGACATGGGGTCTTCTTCAAAGTGGTGCCACGTCCAAACATTTCGATCGTTAACTCTGATTAAGTGCAAATTTCTTCTATTATATAAGTTGTAATCCTAGGAAATATCCTCAGCTTTCAAGAGCTGAGGATATTTCTACAAACATTCATTCCACATTCACGACAACATACATTTTTCTACAATATTTTACGTCTTTCATTCGTTGTTGTGATATCGTAGGCCGAAATGTTATGGAAATCGACAGAGTAATATATTGCACAGCCTATGACTCAGTCTTAACAATTCCTCGAGAGAAACGCCACCATGTAAAAAATGATTGTTCGTTAGTCCTCATTCCATCAGTCACTTTGTATAGTTGCATCACTTCTGACGAAAGAGTACTTTTAATGGCCGTGGCCGTTTGATATGAGATGCATATCGGCTGAAGCATTTTTGAACGCTGAGTTCAAATCTACGTTGCTTTTCTGCGGAACGCTTTGTGACTTATGGACGTGTGAAATTTCCGTTTTTGGGAACTTCTTAAGTTCGAGGACGCTACTAACCGGTCACTGGTGTAGTGCTTAGCGTCTGCTGTTGGAGGCGAGATAGTACTTTCGCCATTAAAATCATGTGCAGAGGCTCTCATTACTCTAATTGTACGCGTGCAAGGCACGGAGGATTTTTTTTCCTAAAATCGGCAGGCCCAGAGACGCCAAAAGATTCTGTGACCAAGCAGCTTTCTAGCCTGCGTATTGCTTTAACGTCCACCTTAAGTTGAGGGTGTTGAGGTTTTGGCAGCATATAATAGTAGGGCCCTCTATCAATCCAATGCCCAAGTCGCGGCGCAAAATGCCGCTTCGGAAGCGAGAAAATTGCTTCGGAATAGCGAAGATGCACGAGGACCCCCATCCATGCCCGCCCATTTGTGGGCGCCCATCCAATCACCGTTCTGAAAAGCCGGTGTGGATTCTTCGGAACGGGGATTGTTGGGGTTTTCGAGATTCTCGACTTCATATTCGGAATCAGGGACATGAGAAGGCCCTGAAACGACAAAAACGTGGAAGTCGAAAATCTGGGTGGACGGTGCCTTTAATAAAATCATGCGGCATAAAGATCGCTTTCCGAAACACAGCGAAGCGGCTGAGCGGCTAGCTTAGAAAATCGAGAAAGGTGCACCCTGTACGTGTGAAATTAGGGTACATGCAGCTGTGCCAGGAAATTCTCTCTTTTCTGATGACATATGCCAAAAACATTGCTGTAAATGTCGCAGACGGTTTCAGGTGCGTATCCTAACTCACACTCAAAGTGCAAAGAGGTTCGCTCCCTACCGTCGAAGTATTGACCTCTTGCTTTTAATGCTAGCCACTACACCATCCACCACCAATGTACATAGCAGCGTCCAAAGGCAGTGGCTTGGCGAAATGACAACTTTGGGATGTTTATCGTCCCTGACTTCCTGGATGAGCTGGATCTGAAACTGTGCATTGCAGTTTTTGAAACTATTAGTACTCGCTTTCCCGGACGTGGAAAGTGCTGGGGGAGGCGAAAGCCCGCCCTTCAGAGAGCGATTGGCTGCTGGAGCCAATAACATCGCCGCCAAGATGGGTGGTTTTCCAATTGACTCCACGAGCCAATCGCTCTCTGGAAGGCGGGCTTTCGCCTTTCGCCCCAGCACTTTTATTCCGGAAAAGCGAGTTATTAAAGGCAGCGTCCAGGCAAATCTGGACCTATGGGGATTTTACGTGAAAAGTACTTTTGGGGCCCTAACTAAGGTACTGCCCAAGCGGCAGCGCAGGTAGTGCTCTAACGTGAGATATTCCCCGCGAGACTGGACCCCGCGATCGTACTCGCATGGATTCATGGCAGTTTCACTACCTGAGCTGCCACTTGGGCAGTGTCTTAGTTAGGGCCCCAAAATTACAATCCACATAAGATCCCGTGCCCAGACTTGCCTGGACGCTGCCTTTAATAACTTTAAAAGCTGCAAAGAACATTGGACTCAGTTCATCCAGGGCAACCGAGAACATACTCTAAAGCCGATCTGCCTAGCCGTTGCCTTTAAGAGCACCCAAGAACGGGATTTCTGGCTTCCATAACTCCTCCCAGAAAAGCGTTCCGCAGAGACGGAATGCAGTTTTTTTTCAGCGTTCAAAAGCGCTTTAACCGATATGCATCTCATATTATATGATATCATTGAAACCATAAAAAGAACGAAATGGATTGCAAGGATTAGGAAAAGGCCAAGAACATCGGAAGGTCAGTGCAAACGTATAAATTGGTGCAATCACTGGTCGATTGCTGAAATGAGGACAAACTACTACATCATTAGCAAAGAGTTGAAATTGTGCGTGAACATACTCACTAGGTGGAACAAGGTCTTACCCCCCTTTTCTCGTCGTAACTCCTTTTAGAATGTGCCTTGGAATAAAAGCAAGATTCGCACTCGGTGTGAGAGTCTTCTGCATACTATACTGGTGCTCTTTGTAAGGTATACTGTAGGAGGTCGAAATTTTGTTTGATTACGGCTTGGATTGGTAAAATTCCACAATTTATTTTTTTACCGCGAATTTGTTAAGCGGTAATACTATGGAGAGAAGTCCCATGTGATTTACATTTGTCGTTATTTATTGGGTTCTTATTTGAAAGAAAGAACTCTGATTTATCGCACCGCTTCGAAGAAGGGCCATTGAATGAGTATCTTAGTTTTCATAACAATTGTGTGCAAATGCATGCATTTTGCACACAGCTCAAGCTTTTATTTTGTTTCGTTACTGCTAACATACGCACTTGTGACGTCATATTAACTGCACAACATAACTTCACTTAGACAAGTTGAAAAAAGCAAAGTCAAGCATGTATAAATCTGATAAAACTGCATTTCTGTTTGGTTTGTCGGAGAATTTGAGACAGACCAGAGAATGGTTGCTCTCTTTATGCGTTAGTCTTTCTAATAACTCTCATAACGTTCAAGCATTATGATAACGTTCACAGTAATGATGTGTTCTGAAATAAATCTTGTACATAAATGGTGGATGAAACGATGGTTTGGATGGATTGCAGGTGATTGGCGGCGAGCGCTCGGATCATCTTATTCCCGTGCCGCTCAGCAGTGCGCCTACCGACCAAGCTGTAAGAGGCTGTGATGTGTGGATTATAGAGAATGTGTACGGATGATGAGCCGCCGCAACTGTTTTCCTTATTTTTCGCGCAGCTGGAATATGGTGGAATAGTTCATGTTGAAGAGAGGTTCTTTAACTTCAGAAAAATGTGAATGAGTAATACGTCTAAAGGGCCAGGCATGCATTACGCGATTTCATGGCATCGCAATTCTCCTAACAAAACAACTGCTAAGAGGCCATTGCACGCAGATCATCTTGCATTTCGGTTGTGGTAATTCTTCGACTGGACTAATGGCGAATGACTATCACAACCAAAATGCAAGATGATCGGTATGCAGTGAACTCGTAATAGTTATCTTGTCAGGGGAATCGCGAGGCGATAAAGTCGCATGGTGTATGCCCGTCCCTCAATGCAGATCTAACAAGGGAATGGTCAGAAGTCGAAGTGGCCAAACCAAACAAGCTGTATACCATTCGATGCAATATAAAACGCTGACTTCGAATCTGTCTTTCTTATCTGCTTCCCGCTTCTGTGGACGAAGCTACAAGCCATTAAAGACCATTATTTTGCTTAGAAATTATGCGTGAAATTGAAAATTTAGCCGTGGTGAGCCACGTTCGCCTTAATGTTGGGCCAAAACATGCAGCTAGCCTACTTAGAATTTTTAAAGAAAGAAGATGAGCTAAAAGTGCAACAGTGTGCTCGATTTGGCTGTATTTATGTGTGATTTTTTTCTTCAATAAAACCGCTTGTAGCTTTGTCCACAGAAGCGGGAAGCAGATAAGAAAGACAGATTCGAAGTCAGCATTTTATACTGCTTAGAATGGTATACAGCTTGTTTGGTTTGGCCACTTCGACTTCTGACCATTCCCTTGTAAGCAACCTTTTTGTAGAGGCGGGGTAAGATAACGAATTCGTCCAGTTTGGGCTGCCTCCGCGTGTTGGTCCTCTAATGACATGCAACAGCATCACAAAAAGATCAGTTGTCTGTGGAGGCGCCCTGAAAGGGCAATTGGAAAACCTTTTGGATTGAACAGTTGGAAAATTTCTACCTTAAAAATTAGAAGGTCCTGTATAAGCTCCTGCAAGACGAAGGCGGTCGGTTCAATGTGCAACGCGGCTGCGACATGGCTGCGTCACAGCAGCGTCACAGCCGCGTCACAGCCACGTCACAGCCACGTCGCGCCTCGAACCAACCGCCTTCGTCTTGCAGGAGCTTATAACTTGGTGTATTTACGTGACCAGCACGGTATGAAGTGCACATAGCGGCATGCATAGCATTCTAATTGCTCAAAACTGTTTGTAAACCATGCTTGACGCAATCTATATAATACGCGCAAACTTTTTGATTTGTAGCTGGCGCTATGTCATTTTGTTGCGCATCAATCCTTGTAACCTGGAAGTGTTTAGTTCATTAACTCCTCATTCCATTTTGTTCTTTTGTTCGTTTTGTTCCGACGCAACATAATATTGTAGCGCTAACCTTTTAAACTGTTTTGCAGATTTTGTAGCTTCATGATAAAAACCAGTCAAGATCGGGTTATAGAGCGGAAAAACATGCGTTGTTATATAGCACCTTTTGCACTCTTATTGCATCCGCCTTTGAGCGGATGCGATAAGAGTGCAAAAGAGGGCACAGAGATGGCCTTTGTTGCTTGATTTTCACGCAGTTCACCGCTATTCATTGAAATTAGGCAAAAATTTTGGATGGTGTCGTGACTTGCGCTAACACATTCACGACAAGCCCAAGTCTTCGACTACTGTCACTTCAGGCCAGAACGCTTTTGGCTATGTCAAAGTTACGACCCACCCGTGGATCGTGCTCCGAAGTGGCAATATTTCAAAAGAAGTTCAAAATGTGCCACAAAATTTTCCTCGAAGGGGTCATGGAAAGCGCTGATTATCGAAAGGTTTAATTTCCATTCTTTTTTCTACGGGTAAACATTGCGCTGCTGGTCAGTGATTTGGCCGAGGAAGGCACCATATCAAGCGTCAACTTTAATGCGCAAATGCTAAATTGGTGCCATGTCCTCACGTCAGCAAAAAATATCCAGATCAATTTTCAATTTGCATTATATATGTTCAAGCAATATGATCAGGCGAAAAAGTAGACCTAAAATCAAAAATGGCGAAATAAAAATTTTTCAAAGGGAGTTCAGAATATGATATCATGAAGTTGAAGACACAAGTGCGGTGGCTCACATTTGTACACATTTTATAGCAGGTGTGGTGGTAGTGGAGTTAGCTTTGATGAGACGTAAGAAATCTCTTATAAAGCTGATCATCCTCTAGTTGTGTGCATGCTTTATATGTTGCGGTCCTTTCTTTTGTGTACGCAGTCCTTTAATGGTGTCTGTCAATGAAACAATGCTAATTTACGAGAGTTATGTTTGGTCCTACTACTAAGACTTTAATACTCTTTATTCCTCTTACGTTCCTTTTCATTACGTTCCTCCCTAACTAGATTTTTTCTCATTCTCATTCTCTCTCTTGCTCTACCTTCTTTCTCCCTCTTTCTCTTTTTTCTCCGAACTCCCTCACTAATTTACTGCAGTGTTGTGAGGTGTTACTGCCAGTGGCTTCCGTACTTAGTCCGAGATTCAATGCCTCGGATAGTGCGTAGGCGCAGCGATAATAGATGTGTGGTGAATAATACGTATGTACGTACATATGTATTTGTATATGTACATCTACATATATACAACATAGCTCCAACAAACCCTACGTTTACTCCTACGTTTGCTCAATGCCAAAAACCAGCGGCTGTCGTGTTGTGTGTGAATGAGCAGCTAGCTTTTTCGAGAAAATGTCTCTCCACCTGTGAACATCATCCCGCTTGTAGTCGAGGCTAATTTGTATAACCCGATGGTAATATCTCTAAGCTATGTATGCTGTGAAGATGTGGCTGCTTTTCTGACACAGCACGAGTGTCGCTGTTCGTATCTTGGAAGCATCACTTGAAAATGTTTTTAGATTCGCGTCGTGAAAGCATTCCAAGCTGGACTGGATAGAAGAGAGCCAAGTCTGACTGGACAATCTGCGGCTCGCCTTCGAGAAATTAGCAGACAGTTAAGGCTACAAGTAGAAAGTGAAAGTCGAGGTTAGTGTTGAGAAGTTGATGGTTTGCTTTTTGATATGTTCTTTTGCAATCATTTACATATTAGTTTTACATCGGTTTGCTAGAACCATATTTATTAGGTTGTCTCATAATTTTTTACCATTTTTATTCCAACCGCCATCTTTTTGTATCGTTTCTTTATCTGATGTGGCCTGAGTGATCATTCGACAGGGCAAATCAAGCTCTACAAGATGGCTATCAAAAGTCTGCCCAAATCGTATCCCACCTAAAATTTTAAGCTGAAATGTAATAGTAGTCGAAAACGAACTTTTCTATCAGAAATAGTATCTTCGCCCCAAAGTATCTGAAAAATTCCTCATTTATCCTAGCATATGCTTGACACATCGCATATTCGACTGTACATTTTCCGAATTTTTTCGATGACTAGAAATAAAGAAAAAAAGAGGTAAAATGGCAAACTCCGCCTCTAGAGATCCTGAGCTCCTCCAACGCATGTCATATGGCTCATACATACAGGAGTACAATAATGTATCTGTATACTTTGTAGATGCCTCAGTTCTCGAGAAATGTTAATGTTTAGGGTAAAAACGGTAAAAAATTATGAGACACCCTAATATTAATTTCATATCGTTTTTTCTCTTAATAATGTAACCCTATGAATTGCTTTGTATTTTAAAGACTTCTCTTTCAAAATTGGCGCGTTTTGCTCCTTATCGTTTACGTAAGATGGCAAATTTCGTCATTAAGGCAGAGAATATAGTATTTTATGAACGAAAATTACGGATTGATTGAGGAAGATATGAGTTGTGAATTTTACTTCCTAGTCGCTTTTGATACGTTCTATGCTGAAAGTCTGAATAAAACCTGAGCTTAGATTAATCATATAATATTATGTGTTATATAATATAGTATGAACCGAAAGTTCTGTCACTTTGGTTTTGTAAAATTCGTATCTGCTCCCTCTGGGAGCGTACTTGCTTACAAAAAATACTATTGAAGAGAAAAATTCATCTACTTCCTAATCACATCCTCGAGGTTCTTTGAGGACAAGGGACTCCAGAGATAAAAATTCGAGAGAACCACTCAAGCTCCCGATTTTCGAAAATAAGTCGCAAAAAAACTGAGACGCTGCAGAAGAATTTGAAAGCATGTTTCTACAGGTTTTGCGAACTGCTCTTTTTACAGTGCCAAAGTTGTGCTGATCGAGCTTCTCTATGTGAAGTCATGATTCTTGCGAATAATGCAGGAAAATGCAAAATGCACGTCATTTTTTGCCGTTTTGCATTTCTCACGAAAATCATAACTTCGCATAGAAAAGCTCGATTAGCACAAGTTTGGCACTGTCAGAAAGAGCAGCTTACAAAACCTATAGAGCACACCCTCCCAGATTTTTTTGCAGCGTTTCAGATTTTTTTGATCTAATGAAAAGCGAACGCTTGAGAGGTTCTTATTTTCGAATTTAAGGAAGTAACCGCGAGTCATTTGTAACTTAATATGTGAGACTGCACACAAAGTTCTATTAGCGACGGAACCCTTACTGGTAGCTTTCCAGTGAAACATTTTCTAGCCTAGCAAAGTGTCGAAATGTGTTCTATTGACTAACAGTAGTCAACAAAAATAAAAGAAACAAGGAAACAAGCAGAAATCGCTGGAAATGAGCAGGTTTTAGTTTTGCTGTTCGTCAGTTAGCGTGTTTAGTTTGCACTATGCATATTAAGTTACGAATGACTCGACGATACATTTACAGAAGGAGCAGTTACAAATTTTTCAAAATCAAAGCGACGGAACTTTTGGTTCAACCTAATAATTATAATTGTAGTTACTGAATTATCATGTTAGGTATAATTATTACGAAATATCTGAATGCCGCTTTTTTAGCTCGCTCTGCTTCACGAGGCAACGTCAAAAGCGATGCTAACAACACGGCGGTATAAATGGATATGGTAATCGTCTCTCATTGATACTTGCATTACAAATTTTATCTCGCGGAATTTGTCTCAATTGATATTGTTACTAGCTGTTATTAGTTTATCGTTTGAAAAACATTTATGATATTGATAGCATGCTCTAAATATGTCATCGTACATGCTCCTCTTTGCTTTGCCTCTTGAGTGTTCATTTATAAGTAGTAACTATCATCTGAAAAAAATCTTACTATCAGGCGCATGTAGGGTTTAATTTTTACATTTTCATTGTAGCTTCTTAGTATCTGTGCTGCTGCTTGTTTTGATAATTGCCAATCAGGCATTCAAATCTCGTTCAAGCCGTATTTTTCACGGTCTTTCTTAATTCAAATATAGCGTAAAGATTATAGCCCAAATCCTACACCCACAATACGCCTGAAGAGTTGTTATCTTGAGTTAACACCGGTGCCGGCCGTTTAGGTAGACTACCGGTACATTGATGTGTGTTTGTATCTGCGCCACGTCGCCAGAGTTTGAATCATATAGCCTAGGTACACCTTGCTACAGAGAAAATTCTCCGACGTCTCAATTGTCGGCCTTCTACTCTTGATATCATATAATCCGCTATCTCTAACACTATCTGCACAGATGGAGGTGGCTTCATTTTGTTGAAAATTGGTCACAATTCTAACGAAGGCGCATATTACTTGTGTTTTGTTTTGCCTAAATAAGAGTCAACGTGTCACTAAGTAAGTAACCAATTAGGTCGTTATTTTGTAAAACCTTTCATCTCGGACATTTGTTTCTTAAGTATTGTCGAATACATAGTCTATATCATGCATATTTTAGCTTTGATACTTTTTACTGATGCTTTTCTCTGCCGATTCATGATAAATTATACTTGAAGTTATTTTTGTGCAAAATGTCTGATCAAAAGAGCGGTAAGACAGCATATGAGATATGAGGTATATCCTTGTTTAAGAGCTTATTAGTTGCAGAGAAGCTGATTTCTGCCCAAGGAAAATGCTTTAGCACAGGTATGTTATAATTTTCAGCTCAAACTTTGTCAAAAAAGTTTGCAAGCTTGCTATTCGACATAGGCGACAGATATTTATCGTCGTCAACCCATATTTGGGTAATTATTTTTGGCAGACTATTTCTAAACAAGCAAAGTATAAGTAAGCACAGGTAGCAAATGTAAAGTGAAAAGAGATCAACAGGGATATCCACTGAGGCAATACAAACATTAGATGTAAGTGATGAAAGTACGTGATCAACGATCATCAAGAATTATAGACTTTCGCTTCTGCTTCCCTAATTCCTTCTGGAGCTATCACTACTTCAATATCTTTTTTAGAGGAAATGCCGCATCTGGCATTGGAGTTCATCATTTGATATTCTCCAATATACTTCCTCCTCTTCCAAGCATTCAGGACATCGGAAGATCGCACGATCCGCGATGGGAATGTCTAACAAGGAAAGGATACACGGTCACCGTGGCCGTTTGGAATGCGATGTACACTGTAAGATGCACCTCGAAACGCTGATTCCAATTCTGTGCTCGATATCTGCGAAACGATCTGAAGGAAGTTATGAACTTTTTTCGCAGAAAATTTACGTACTTTTGCGTAGTTAAAATCACCAAATTTGTTTTAAGTTTACCATTTAGAGCTACTGAAGTGAAGCTTAAGAGGAATACTGTTGTGTTATACCTATTTGAATCATATTCAGCATTTGAAAAGGAAAGAAAATTTTTTATTGATGATTTTGACCCTCCGCAGTAACGCAGTTTATTCATGGAAAAATAATCATAACTCCATCCAGATTATCGTTTCGCAGATATGGAAGAGAGTATTCGAACCAGCATTAAAGGGCGCTTTTTTGATTTACAAATCATTATGAATGGTCGCGGTGACCAAGTATCCTTCCCTTGTAAGCTGCCATCGGCGTTGTCAGTTGCATTGCGCAATTCTTTTGCAAGATGTTACGGACCACATGAAGTGTCGTTCAAAATTATTGCTTTAGCAGCATTTCTTCAAAGAAGTGTTGATTGGCAAGTTGCCGTGTGAAATGCTATACGATTCCGTTAGTTCCGCAGAAACAGCACAAACTTCAGGCGAGGTGGCCGCGCAAACTTGAGCCACGCATGCAACTTACACTGTCATTGAGACGAATCTCGAGACAATCTCTTGCTTAATCCAATGGTATACATTGGTATTCTTCCCCTTTCATCAATTCTCCGAGAAAGATGCTGTTAGTGAGGACTGTCGGAAGATTGTTCTTTCAAATTATGAAATTCTGTAGTTCTGGCGATTTCATCACTAGACCGGTGTGCTGGCTTAGGTTTATGTGCTTGTTTTCGTAGCCTATCTTTCGCGAGCTCGTACCGTACTCGTACATTCATCGATCTTCTTATAATACTCAAAAAATTGTGTGAGGCTTTATAGAAAAATTCTCAAAGGGAGTACACACTTTAAGAGCCTAAGTCTCCTAACAAGGGAATGGTCAGAAGTCGAAGTGGCCAATCCATATAAGCTGCATACCAATCGATGCAGCATAGAATGCTGATTTCAATTGTGTCTTCCGTATCTGCAGAGCGCCTTTGTGGGCGAAGTTAGAGCAGCTTTACTGCGGAAACGTCCACAAAAACTGCGCAATTAGGCAGATCACTGCTCTTTTAGCTCACCTTTAGGTACGAGCCATATGAACTGACCTAGTTACACGTTTTGGTCCAACACTGAGCCGAGAATGGCTTTGTACGGCCAAGTTTGACCTTTACACGCACAATTTCTTAGCAAAATGATGACATTTAACGGCTTATAACTTCGCCTACAAAAGCGCTCTGCAGATAAGGAAGACAGATCTGAAATCAGCATTCTATGCTGCATCGAATGATATGCAGCTTGCTTGAATTGGCCACTTCGATTTCTGGCCATTCCCTTATAAGGTTGTTTTCCATACGTATATTTTTGTGGGGCAAGCCTCCATCTCAAGTACATCCGCTGATGCTCCAAAACCTCAGCCTCAGTATGCTCCCATTTCTTGAGAGCAATAGTGGCGCCGATCCCGCTGATATCGTAAATGATCAAGAACCTGTCCGGCTCCTTTCTCGGTCTGCACAGCATTTGGAAACTATTTTAGCAACTTCAATAGTTTTCCAAACAAAAGCCAGAGCCTCAGGTACTCTGCTTACTAGAATTACCTGTAGCTGGACGGCCACTTAGGGCCGCATGCACTAACCTCCCCGCTAGGGAGGGGATCGCAGCTTAAAAGAAAGCTTTATATTTCGAAACTCCAGATACTTGGGTTTCACGTTGTGTACCTATCCGTAAGTATTCCTACTACCCTTCACTAAGAACATGTTGAACAGGAGCGAGAAGCTGCACGAACCGCATTTTCCAGCTTTTGTATGATCCCTGATGATCCCCGGCGCTTTTCTTTAAAGTCATTTTTCTTTCTCCGAAGTTAACGAAAACTTTCCAAAGCTGTACTGAACATCTAACACAACAGTGCTAAGCATGTTGCTGATGAGAACAAATGAGTTTTTGAAAAGTCGAATTTTCGGTATACCTCAAATTTCGATCTGTGGATCATTGAAAATTTCATGACTTCAAAACATCATTTGTTCTTATCACGAACATGCTTAGCACTGTCGGGTTGGATAATCTGCACAACTTTGAAGGTTTTTCGCTAACTTCGGAGAAAGAAAAATGACTTTAAAGAAAAGCGCCGGGGATCATCAGGGATCATACAAAAGCTGGAAAATGCGGTTCGTACAGCTTCTCGCTCCTCTTCAACATGTTCATAGTGAAGGGTAGTAGGAATACTTACGGATAGGTACACAACGTGAAATCCAGATATCTGGAGTTTCGAAATATAAAGCTTTGTTTTAAGCTGCGATCCCCTCCCCGCGGGGATGTTAGTGCATGCGGCCCTTATCTCTTTCCGAGTCAGTCGTTCTCTGGGGATACCAGAAAAAGCACTGTAGATCATTTTCTTCTCCGTATTAGTGTCGTCACGGCAGCTAAGGAGAAAAAGCTGGATCAGCAGAGAGGATTGGTGCAGGAGCGCAGAGTTATCTTAATGGCTCTCTTAACAGCAGGTATAAGCATGAAGTATCAAGCACTTGATGTGATAGTAGGAAGAATACATATATCTCATTTACACATATCACGTATAGTACAGAGCATTATACTGCGAGCATTCCACTTCAGCTAAGGAGAACAGAGCAATGAATGGTGCTGCTTTCAAAATTTCAGGATAGTTTAGACATCAGACATTCATCATTATTCCATCTTCACTTTCTTTCACAAAATTTCTCCACCGCTGAACTTAGCAGCAGTCGACACGACGCTGCCAACTTCTGCGAGATGCGCTCGCAAGGGGAAGTTTTTCTCGTAGAACTAAAAAAAACTAAAAAGTAAACTAGAACTCGCTAGAGCAGAGTTTCGCAGAAGACTGGCAGGACGCGGTCCTATTTGCCCAAATAGCGAATAATACTAACAGTATCCGCAAGTTAGATGCACATGCTCTACTGGAATGCCAATGTGCAAAGTGCAAAAGCCTCAGTATGTATGACAGCCGAAATGACCCATTTATAGTCGTGTGCGAGTGCAGCTTATTATATTAGGGTTATCACTAAAAAATGTGGCACTTACGAAATAACTGGAAGTTTCTCAAGAAAGAGAAGTGATTAGACTTTCCTATTTTGATAGTTGTTAAAATATGTTATTCTCTTTCAAACAATATCTATATAAGGTCATTTGCGTAATTGATAATTTTTATACTTGCTAAAATGCAAAGTCAGTCACTTAATAATTTATGAAGTTTGAACAGTATCTGCGCAGTGAAACATGTGAGACCACCCAAAGTACCACTGCTGGAGGGGGTGGTGGGACTGCCACTAAACCCACGACGGCTTGATGGCCTCAACTTTCATAGTCAGGAGATATGGCCATTAACAGCTTCGAGAACAAAAATACGCGTTATTATTCAATTCATTGCAGGTGAACGCATGTTTTGTAGGCACCATCTGATAGAGCTTTTTACGCTCTATCATCCTTATACAGATCATCTTAGATTTTATCTATCTTGGAAAAATAGGGCAAAACACGATTTTTTTTTGGTTTTTTGATTTTTTCGTTTTTTTTTCTGAAATTAAAAAGAAATCTCATGCATTTAACATATGTTTGAAAGAGCATAAAGAGCTCTTTTGCATGGTATG